TCGGCATTTACATCTTATTAACCTTCTACCTCTCTTGTCACGTTATATATACACACTTATGACCAGGAGTACTTGTGATTCCGTAGAGTGAGAAGTCCTGTAAAGCCTGGTGGCAGCATTGAGGAAGGAGAGAGCGTTGGCTACATGCCTGCCCTGTCCCTTCCAAACCCTGCAGCACACTTACCAGTATAGCTAAACATGAGGGTTTGAGAACTAAACTGCCCAACTGACAGTAAGGGTTGCTCACTCGCTCAATACCAACACACTGTATCAAAAATTAAAGATATACATGTGATGAAAAGAAAGTTTAGGCGTGGCTAGTAGATAAGAGCTTAAAATCTGACCCAGCTGTGCCAATATAGTGAATCTCACCTTTTGTTGAGACTTGAATGTTTTAATTAAATTGTTTGATACAACTATAACTCAACAGATTTGGCACACAATGTCCTGAAATCAGTATAAAAGGCTGAGCATTACAATGGGGAAACAAATGGTTACAAACATTAATTAACCTATCGCGGGTATACATTAAATGCATGCAATATAGTTATAAAAAAATAAAAATACATTTTTTTTAAAATGTAATGGTTTGAATTATAAAATGCATCCCCTAGGAAAAAAAAAAAAAAATAGATTAAAAAAAAACATTACTTACGTTTTCTTCATTTGTATCTTCTCGGCATGACGCTGTTTGTGGTAGAGCTTAGCCTTCAGACCGATCATCTTCTTTGCTTTATGTGAGCGTTCATGAGCCTCTCGGCTTTCCTTCTTTCTCTTTCTTTCATGGTAATCCAAGCGATATCCATAACGCTTCCGATGTAATTCAATATAGTCGTTCTGAGGCTGTGTGACAAAGAAAGAAATGCAATTAATACACAAGCATTTGGGAAATAAAAACGGTTTATTCAACACCTACAACTATGTGTTGTGAAAAAAAAACAAAAAACACTATGCCAGCACTGTGGCAAGAGAGCAAAGGTAAGTAAACCCTCACAGCATTGGTGGTGGAGGCACCTATAGGTTACGTTCCTTTAAAGGAACACTTCCCCAAACACTCATCTCAGTGAAAATATAAGGGCAGCATTGCCTGTGGTCACTTACCTTCAGGGGTTAAACTGATTTTGAATGGTTGAGTGATAGACTACTAGAGGTAGTCTTAATACTGCAATGTAAACATTTATCATTTTAAGGAGATGAAGTGGTCTGGATGCCTATAGTGTCCCTTTAAAGGACCACTATATAGTGCCAGGAAAACAAACTTGTTTTCCTGGCACTATAGTGTCATTATGTCCCCCCACTCTCAGGGCCCCCATCCACTTGGGCTGAAGGAGTTAAAACCCCTTTAGCCACTTACCTTTCTCCAGCGCTGGGCTCCTTCGTCGCTGGGGAACTCTCCTCCCTCTGCCGACGTCAGAATGCTTTCCTATGGATGTCTAGCGGATGAGAATCGCGGAAGACAGCCACTAGAGGCTGGATTAACCCTCAGTGAAACATGGCCGTTTCTCTGAAACGACCATGTTTTCAGCAACAAGGTTAAAACTTTGAGCTGAAGTGATCTGGGTGTCTATAGTGGTCCTTTAACCGGAAAACTGGCTTATAGACCAGCTCTGTCTCCTCTGTTCCTTCCTTTATCCACTGACTGCAGGAAGGCTTGCCTTGTTGGCCCGTGATAAGCTGAAAGCGTCATACCCACTACACCCAACGATGCCTTCGCGATGATTGAAGACATAGGACTTGAGTCCCCACATGCATGACACCGGGGGAACTAGACAAGACCCTGAATTTGGGATGGTCTTCCTATATCTGTGCCAGTTTAAGGATTAGATCCGCACATACAGCACCCCAGGAGACATTCTAACTTCCATACTTCCAGTTAGTTTATGTAAAGTTACCATAATAAAAACTAAAGCAGATTAAAGGGTCACTATAGTGTCAGGAAAACAAAGCGGTTTTCCTGATACTATACTGCCCTGAGGGTGCCCCCACCTTCAGGGTCCCCCTTCAGCAGCTTGCCTTAATCCAGTGCAGGGCTCATTCTGCGCTGGTGACCTCTCCTCCCCGTCCGACGTCACTGGATCTGAATGCGAAGCAAGTGCCGTGCGCATTCAAACAGTTCATAGGAAAGCATTTCTCAGTGCTTTCCTATGGGCGTTCTGCACGCTGGATGCGAATTTCGCATCGAGCGTCGCAGATGCGTCTCTAGCGGCTGTCAGGAAGATAGCCACTAGAGGCTGGATTAACCCTGCTATGTAAACATAACAGTATCTCTGAAGCTGCTATGTTTACATCTGAAGGGTTAAAACCTGAGGGACCGGGCACCCAGACCACTCCATTGAGCTGACTATAGTGTCCCTTTAACTAAAGAAGTCAATGGGCTGGGCTCCATTTAGTCCAGTGACCCTCCCCCCCATGCCATGCCATGCATTGAGCCAGCGTGTCCGGGCATGGCTGGATACACGGAGCCCTCACCATGGCTGCGGCTGTTGTTCTCGGTGCTGTGTGTTCCCTGCTCGGTGCTGTGCTGTGGCTGGCAGGGGAGGCTGCCGCTGGCGGTGCTTTACGGCCTCTGACACACGAGCCGCAGTTACCGAGGCCAGGTGGAAGCAGTAAAAGGAAGGACCGCCCACTCTAGCACGTCACTTCCTGTTTACGCTTATGGGGGGGGGGTCGGGGGGAAGGCTGCAGAGAACTATTGGAGAGGGCGGAACGGTTATCAGGGATACTTGTTTCCATCCGGAAGATTTTTTTCCTTAATGTGTGGCTAACTATCGCTAAGCATCACGGGAAGAAGGTCAAACGTTGTGTGCGTAATGTCACGTTGACGGTAGACGAGGAGGCTGACGTCGAGGTTCCATGTGAGGTGGTGTGACAGCTCCAGGCAGAAGCTGTGAAGCAAGCAGCAGCAGTAGCAGCAGGTGACAGAGATCAATGAATGCCAGGAGCCAGATATATATATGTATGTGACATTACATTGTATCCATGATCTATTGGAGAATATCTAAATGCCATCTAATACTGGGGACTCTGAGCTGTTCAGCAATGCTTTGTGAGGGTGTACTCCATGGTGAAGGTGACTGGCTCCACATGGTCTCAGACTGTCTCCATACATTACATTAAAGGGACACTATAGTCACCCAGACCACTTCAGCTCAATGAAGTGGTCTGGGTGCCCGGTCCCTGAGGTTTTAACCATTCAGATGTAAACATTTCGGTTTCAGACATGTTTTACATGGCAGGGTTAATCCAACCTCTAGTGGCTGTCTGCTTGACAGGCGCTTCTGCAACGCTGGGTGAGAAATTCGCATCCCGCGTGCAAAATGCTTTCCACTGGAAAACATTTTGCCGTGCATGCACATTCCGCTCCACTCGGGAGCCGACGTCGGTGGGGGAGGAGAGGCCACCAACGCAGAGTGACCCCGGCGCTGGATTAATGTAAGTAACTGAAGGGGTTTTTAACCCATTCAGCACTGAGGGTGGGGGGTCCTAAGGATGCTATAGTGTCAGGAAAACGAGTTTTTGTTTTCCTGACACTATAGTGATCCTTTAATTTGATAACACTTTACAGGTTATTTACTAAACTGAGAACTGTCTGAAATTCAAAGCTGCTCTGTCACCTCAAACTTACCTTTCTCCTATTGTTGCTTCTGTTTATAATCTGCAATAATTACCTGCTAGGGTTAACTACTCCTCTAGTGTCTGTCTACCAGACAGCCACTAAAGGGACGTCCGGGTGCTTAGACGCTATGCATGAGGATCTCCAACATCCCTGGAATCCCCATAGGAAAGCATTAAATAATAATAATAATAAGTCCTAATGCGAGTGTGGCCATTGCCGCGCATTAGGTCTCCCCCGCCAGTGGATGTTGGCGATGGGCTGGACCAGCACCGCAGGACATCGGCACTGGACCCAGATAAGTGACAGAAGGGGCTATTAACCCCTTCTGAACCACAGGGGTGCAGGAGGCTTGTCAGAGGGGGAAGCTATTGTGCCAGGAAAACAGGTTTGTGTCCCTGGCACTATAGTTCCCATTTTAATGCAAACTTTGGCCTTTGCTAGCCTTTACCTCTGGCACACCAGATGCTGTGGTCTTCATCTCCCCTGAGGCTTTGCCAACATGATGTCTAAGAACATTATGGGAGATGTAGTCCAAAAGATCTGGAGTATCAAAGGTTGCCTACCCTTGGTTTAGCACATGTATCTTTGTGAGTTAGAACAATGTCTTTTTTTTTTACGCGACAGTCACTTATCTGAAACACTGATTTGTGTTTGTGCGGTCTGTCATTTTCTGTGATTCCGTGGGATTCAACAAAGTGTTGTGTTCTGAAAAATGGTGCAGTCACGTGGAAGCCAGTGGAACCAGCACCACTTTTCAGAACCTGATATATTGATAGATCTTCCTGATGTGTTTGCTGCCCTTGACTGTTGGTACTTTGACTTTGGACCAAGGGCTGTCAAAAATTCCTGAAATTGATTGGATGGTACACACATTTATTTAATAAGCAGTGAATTGAAGACCGGACTGCAAAATCCTGAACAAAAAGCCAATGTGGGTATATCTGTTATCGAGACTTTTTGTTTTACTTGAATACGGTTTACCGAATAATCCTTGTGAGCAAGAGAATGGCAAATTTTAGGTTAAAAGGCTTTGGTGGTATCGTGCCCCACTCAATTCTGTGTTGTTCATTAAATTTAGGGATTATCAAAATCTGAACAATCGCATGACGAGGCCAAAATAGCTTAACTGGGAAAACTCACATTCTCCGAATCTCCAATTTAGTAAATAACCCCAGCAGTATGATAGCAGATGTTTGGGAGTAAGTGGAAGCAGAAGGGAGACAGTTGAGTTAGAATTATACACTGGTAAAGTTATTCACTAAATTTGGATTGTAAAATTGAGACTAGAATAGCCAAGCTTTGAATAGATGAGGGATTTTTTATTTTTTTTTTTTTGCTGGACTATTTTCAATTTGGATTTAATCTGCTAAAATGCAGCATTTATTCAATAAACATGAATTACATTTAAAGGGACATTTGATTTTCAAAGTTTTTTTCAGGCAATGTGAAAGATTGCCCTTTCAGAGAAATTGCAATGTTTACATTTGTCTGCAACCATGTTTCAGGCAGACTGCCAATAGAGGCTCTTCTTCCATAAAACCTTTGAAAATTGAAGGTTCATGCTCAGTGTTATCACACCGCTAAATTACGCCAGATACATCCAATGATCCCCATAGAGGAGCACTGGATGGAGCATTTGATTAGCAAAAGTACAGCAATAGCTGGGCATGTGCTTCTGTCCACAATGGCTCTCTATGAGTAGCATTAAATTAGACAGTCATCATAACATTTGACTTCAATAGAGGCGATTGCACTGAGGAGACTGTCCCGGGATTTAAAAAAAAAACCCAAACATTTTATGGAGTTTTCTGCTCTTCCATCATATTGGTGGAGAAGTAGTGAGAACACTACTAAGAATACACTAACATTAAAAATATATTATTATGTATATATATATATATATATATATATAAAAAAAGCCAGCACTCTGTCTTGTAAATAAAAACTTCTCAGGTTTTATTCCAACAGTCAACTTTTCAGTTCTAATTGAACTTTCTTCAGGACATAAATAACTTATATTAACAATATTGACTATAAATAAGGAAAAACTCACTCACCCCAACCTCGATCACCTGTGTGGCGACGTACAGCCATCACCAATGCGCATGCGTAATTAAGCTCCGCCCCCTACTGACGTCCCTTCCAGGTGCCGTGCCTCCGTTTCCAAGGTAACCCACAGAAACAAACCATCACCTTGTGAATGAATGAGGACAAGTGAAATAAATATGCACGATGTGTAAATCGTTATAAGTGCCCATAAATGTAGCTGTTTCAACTACTTATTAATCTATATACAGGGATGGAAAATGAAGTGCATAATGGGTATAAGCAAACCAAAGATTCAATTGCATCAATCTTACATTGATAGTGTGCAAATCGCAGGATTAATTTCCCGAGTATAAAGAATGCTACTTTAAAGTGACAGTGCATCCACATTACTTGAAAGGGTCTGTGCCAAAAAATAACAGCGTAAAAACATGTGACCACTCATATACAATGAGAAAAGTGCCCAAAATGTGCTAATATACAAGTGAATGAAGAAATACATTACAGTATAATATTAATATTCCTCATCCATATACTAAAGTGCATAAATATTTATAAATATAAAGAGGTCTGAATGATTGCAATGTTAAGGAGACAGTTACTGAGAAAACTCTGACTGTATCCCTTTTGGGGAAAAACATGCACACAATATTATTATATACATCATGATCAAGGTCTAAATAAACATAAAAGAAACAGAATAAAAAATATAATTAATGTGAGCTTCCCAATAGGGTTCTGCTCCAAAAAATACAGACAAACCCTCTTACTCTTCATTATATCCTCTGGATGCAATCTATATTACCCTATTCAAATAAAGAGCATATATTCAATTATTAGATGTATCTAAGTCCAATATCACTCTAATGAGGATAAGAAATCTCTATTGTAAAGACAGAGAAAGGGATATCAAAAAAATTATTAAAAACTGGAATATTAACGAATATACAACCCAGGCCTATGGCCCCATAGGGGTCTATATAAATGGCATATACGTCAATTTTTCATTGAGTCCCATAGGTGCAATAGTGTTCAATTCCCGGATCCAGAAGGTATCTCTTTGTAATAATAAAATCGCTCGATTACCCCCTCTTCGAGATATGGGAATATGATCAATAGCTACGCATTTCAGTGTAGATAATGGATGCTTAAATTCCCAAAAATTACGTGCCACCGGTTTGTCTGTATTCCCGTCACGGATTGCTGTTCTAATACTGGATCTATGCCCACGGATTCGCTCACATAATGGTGTCTCAGTTTTTCCAACGTAATTTAATCCGCATGGGCATGACAATTTATAAATCACATGATTAGTTCTTAATGTGATCTGATGTCTAATAGAATATTTTTTACTTGTGTGAGGGTGTTCGAATGATTTAGTGAGGATAAGATGTCCACAAGTAACACACCCCAAGCACCTGACACATCCAAGATTAAGGAATTTATTCTGGTCTGACAAATAGCTCTGTTCAGGATATGTGCAGACCAATAGGTCTTGCAAATTCCTTTCTCTCTTATGACATATCAAGGGTTTCTGTTGAAAAATTGTTGGTAAGGATGAATCTCCAGTTAAAATATTCCAATTATCTCTCACTACTGCTGACCGTTTATTACTTGCCGAGTTATACTTCATTGGAAAGGTCAATCTTTGTGGTTTTTGTGGACCGGGTGTCTCTGATCTCTGTTTAACAATCAATCTAGCTCTTGCCAAAGCTGCATCCAGAATAAACTGGTTGTAACCCCTGATTATAAATTTATTATTCATATCCTCAATTTGTTTGTCAGCGCATTCAGAGAGAGAGTTATTCCTGAACACTCTCAAGAATTGAGTAAACGGCAAAGATTTTTTAATATGCACAGGATGCGCACTCGATGCGTGGAGGATAGTATTGCGGTCTGTTGGTTTAGAAAAAGGTCGGTGCTCCAATTTTTGATTTTGAATGAATATCTCCAGATCCAAATAGTGCACTGTTTTTGTGTCAATGTTCCCTGTCATCTTGATTGGGCTGGGGAGGTTATTAATGTGTTGCACAAAATGTCCAGCTTCCTCTACTGTGCCTCTCCACAATATCAAGATGTCATCGATAAAATGTACATATTTAATATTTGAAAATGGTTTTAGGATATTCTCCTCCTCAAATGTATGCATATATGCATTAGCATACATGGGCGCCATTGCAGCACCCATGGATGTTCCCGACTTCTGCATGTACCAACTGGTTTCAAACTTAAAATAATTCTGTTGTATAGTTAACAGCATTAATTCCATAACAAATTCAATGGGAGGTCCTTGATAATATGTTGAGTTGGATAATATTTGTCTCATAGCTTCAATTCCTTCTTCATGGGGAATAACTGTATAAAGGCTTTGCACATCTAAAGTCATAAGTACAAGATTGTCAGGGATATGTTCAACTTTACCCAATATTGTAATCAAATCCTGTGTGTCCTTAATACACGTAGGTATGTTTTCCACCGTTGTTTTGAAAAGGAAGTCAAGGTATTTTGCTATAGGTTCCAAAACTCCTCCTATTGCGGAGACTATCGGACGTCCAGGAGGTGACTGTAGACTTTTATGGATTTTTGGCAATGTCTATAGGATAGGGGTTCTCGGATTGCTTTTCTTTAGGAAATTAAACAGGTCTAAATCAATATATTCTGCCAATAGTCCCATCTCCAATACTTCTTCAATTTTCATCATCACCTCCAAAGTTGGATCATGTGGTAGAGAACTGTATGTATTTCGATCTTCAAGTTGTCTCTTAATTTCCAAAGAGTAATCTTTGTAGTTAAGGATCACAATACCCCCTCCCTTGTCTGCTGGTCTCAAGACAATTGAGGGATCGTTGGCCAAACCTTTAATTAATTGATGTTGCTCTTTAGATATGTTACTGTGTTGGATTTTGTGTCGGGAACATCCATGGGTGCTGCAGTGGTGCCATGTATGCCAATGCATATATGCACACGTCTTAGGAAGAGAATATCCTAAAACCATTTTCAAATAAAATCATTAAATATGTACGTTTCATCGATGACATCTTGATAATGTGGAGAGGCACAGCAGAGCTGGAAATTTTGTGCAACACATTAATAACCTTCCCAGCCCAATCAAGATGACAGGGAACATTGACACAAAAACAGTGCAATATTTGGATCTGGAGATATTCATTCAAAATCAAAAATTGGAGCACCGAGTTTTTTCTAAACCAACAGACCGCAATACTATCCTCCACGCATCGAGTGCGCATCCTGTACATATTAAAAAAATCTTTGCCGTTTACTCAATTCTTGAGTGTTCAGGAATAACTCTCTCTCTGAATGCGCTGACAAATTGAGGATATGTATAATAAATTTCTAGTCAGGGGTTACAACCAGTTTTTTCTGGATGCAGCTTTGGCAAGAGCTAGATTGGTTGTTAAAGAGAGATCAGAGACACCCGGTCCACAAAAACCACAATGAAGTATAACTCAGCAAGTAATAAACGGTCAGCAGTAGTGAGAGATAATTGGAATATTTTAACTGGAGATTCATCCCTACCAACAATTTTTCAACAGAAACCCTTGAAATGTCATAAGAGAGAAAGGAATTTGCGAGACCTATTGGTCTGCACGGATCCTGAATAGAGCTATTTGTCAGACCAGAATAAATTCCTTAATCCTGGATGTGTCAGGTGCTTGGGGTGTTACTTGTGGACATCTTATCCCCACTAAATCAATCGAACACCCTCACACAAGTAATAATATTGTGTGCATGGTTTTCCCCAAAAGGGATACAGTCTGAGTTTTCTCAGTAACTGTCTCCTTAACATTGCAATCATTCAGACCATATATATATTATATATATATATATATATATATATATATATATATGCACTATAGTATATGGATGAGGAATATTAATATTATACTGTAATGTATTTCTTCATTCACTTGTATATTAGCACATTTTGGGCACTTTTCTCATTGTATATGAGTGGTCACATGTTTTTACGCTGTTATTTTTTGGCACAGACCCTTTCAAGTAATGTGGATGCACTGTCACTTTAAAGTAGCATTCTTTATACTCGGGAAATTAATCCTGCGATTTGCACACTATCAATGTAAGATTGATGCAATTGAATCTTTGGTTTGCTTATACCCATTATGCACTTCATTTTCCATCCCTGTATATAGATTAATAAGTAGTTGAAACAGCTACATTTATGGGCACTTATAACGATTTACACATCGTGCATACCGGTATTTATTTCACTTGTCCTCATTCATTCACAAGGTGATGGTTTGTTTCTGTGGGTTACCTTGGAAACAGAGGCACAGCACCCGGAAGGGACGTCAGTAGGGGACGGAGCTTAATCAAGCATGCGCATCGGTGATGGCTGTACGCCAGCACACAGGTGATCGAGGTTGGGGTGTGTGAGTTTTTCTTTATTTATAGTCAATATTGTTAATATAAGTTATTTATGTCCTGAAGAAAGTTCAATTAGAACTGAAACGTTGACTGTTGGAATAAAACCTGAGAAGTTTTTATTTACAAGACCCAGAGTGCTGGCTTTTTTCATCCATCTATACATTGTGCAGTTGAGCACCAGGCAATACTTCAAGGGATAGCTGGAGAGCAGAATCGTTTGATTTTGTGTGTGTGTGTGTGTGTGTGTGTGTGTGTGTGTGTGTGTGTGTATGTATGTATGTATGTATATATATATATATATATATATTTATATTTTTTTATTCTAAATTGTTGCTTGTTATTTCCATAGAATGTTGCAGTAAGGAAATGCATCTTATTAAATTAAGCCAAAGTTAATAAAGAAGAAATCATGTTGGCGGTTTTGAAGGCCCTTTCTGGGAAGTCCATCGGGACATACAGTGTGTATACAGAGGTGGGTGTTTTTATGGGAAAATTAACATTTACAACTTAACCAATGTTTACTTGTGAATTCTGGCCAAGAAAGGGTATTTTGGGCTATAGCTTTCTATTATGACCATATTAAAGTAGAGTTGTCACTCATTATTTAGTTGCACATCCAAATAGCTGAGTAAAAGTTAGTTATAGGTTGTGCTAGTCATTTTTTTTTTTCAAATTCTCATAAATATTGAATTTACCACGCATGCCTGGCTTTTTCACATGCTATGTAAATTAAATGAACCTTCTATAATACAGAATGCACACTATAACTACCAAATGTAAATTAAATGAACCACTCTGGTGGCACAAGTATGGAATTTTAGTACGCATGAGCCACTCGAAGAATCAATCCATAAAGGTGCCCACAACAAGGAAGTACAACAGAAATATATAGTTTTATTTATTTTTTTGGTTTGTTTTATTTTAAACTTGCACTAGTCATTACAGCAAATGCTGTAATAGAGAGTTTACTGGAGTAAGTGATTGAGAGACTACCACTTATACATTACAGTGAAACTGTAATCCACTAATTGCGTGAATGGCAAGATCACATGCAAGTAGATGTGTATATAATGCAGAGATTTTCAAGTTTCAAGCTGTAAAAAATAGCTGACTTGGAGAAATGTTTCAATTTAGATGTTTTTACCTAAATTTTCTAATTCCGTTGTACATTTTCCCCATTTGTCAGTTTAGTGAACACATGTGTGTACCCTTTTTCTAATGTTCACTGGCAGCATTTACATGGCTTTAACGAATGGTAATTATGCCCTATTGGGATTTCAAGTTAATTTGCCTTTGTTATGGATTCTACAATTTTCCTTTCAGTGTCTAGAGTGTTTTAAACGAAGACTTGCACCAAACTCAAGACCCAAGTATCGCTATGAACTTCAAAGACACTACAGCTTCCCATCAGGTAGCCCTGGATTATCATGAATACTTCCTGCAATGCAGAGAATAGAGTAGAATTTTATTTGATTTCTTGTTCTTTTGTGTTGCTTAGTTTTAGTTTTGTTTGTTTGCTGGGAAGCCTTAATTCATGAAATATTGCATAACACAGATACTGATTTGCCTCATTTTTGTTTGGCAGAAGATGTCAAGTCTCTACGGACTATTATCAGCCCTCCAGTATCCAGGTTAGAAATACTGTGCATTTTTTTGAATTTCTGTCAGACTTGTTAATGAGCTCCTTGCAATGAGTGGTAGTTAACAGATATTGATAGGAGGGGGGGGCCCAGAACTTGCATTTCTCAGTAGTGGTGCTGCCGTAAAGACCAAATTTATTCAAAATGCAGATTAAGGAACTGCGATAACACCAAAATCATTTTATCTGATGAATTGAAGCAACACCAACAAACAAGCGCGAGCTGCAGATGGACTATCTTGTCTTATGCAGTGGTCAGTATATTTTGTAGAGGTTACTTTCATCATTTAGACAGAAATGCCTGCAAACAATCCTAGCTCGTCTGAGCGCTTACTAACATTAAATGTCCCTCTTTAGCGAGAAATAAACTTAAACAAAATCCGGTTTCACCAACCTTGTTTATTAGCTACTCTCTGCTCTCCAGTGCTCAGTCACCTTGACTGCTATCCTTCTGCACCCCAGGGCTCCAAGCCAGCCTGCTGCTTCCAACCTCCAAAGGAGGGGGAAAAAAAATCTCTTTACCTGCCTAGCAGGGAGGGGTTTATTCCCACTGCTGCAGCGGATTACCTGCAGCTGAGCAATGTGTTGGAGACAGTCCAAAACCCTGGCCTGGACCTTATTTCTCCCAGTTGTATGCAAACTGCGGAGTGGAGCATTGGCCCACCCTGCTCTCCAAATGCTCCACCCCAGGGGCCCATAACTAAACATTCATTTGTGTTGCATACAACGCATACTCCCCCTGGGGTTAAATGTCATATGCCTCCCTGAAGAAGGTAGAGGGAAAAACAGCCTCACATACCACACCATTCATATAATAGGAGATAAAATGATATAATCCTAATCCAATGCTTTTTGCCATGCATCCTATTCAAATGTTAATTTTGTTTTATTTTTGTATGTAATTAAAGTAAAACAAAACCCTGTTTAATTTGATAGGAAACAAAGTATATGTTTTGTAAGAATAGATAATTGCAGAATGCTGCAAAACATTTATTAATTGCTAAAACTATACAAAATGGAGCACTAAAGAAAATGAAATCGGTAATTATTTCGGTCAAACTTCGATGGATGCATTTGCTCCTCTATAAAAATGTTTTGTCATAAAAAAAGGCACAGGTCCTTAAAGTGCTATCAGTTGTTGCAATCTAACGTAATGTAAAACAATGTGGCCGGTGAGATTGGTTTACCGAGTCATTTGTATAATTTTAATAATGACTCATATCGTTATAGAATCAGAAACATAGGAATCATGGCTCATATCGATGCAGGAAAGACCACAACTACCGAGAGAATGCTTTATTATTCTGGCTACACCAGAGCCCTTGGAGGTGAGCGATTATTAATATACTTTTGTTGTACACAAAATTGCAAAGCATTTTTTTTTAAATGTATTTTTTTATAATGGAACAAACTTTAATGCTTTGGCTCATTTAATGACATGAAATGTCTATAACGTGTGTACTTTAACATTATTACTTATAAAGTAGTCTGGTTATTGTAGATGTGGACGACGGTGACACAGTGACCGATTTTATGGCTCAGGAAAGAGAGCGTGGAATCACAATACAGTCAGCCGCCGTCACATTCGACTGGAATGGCTACAGAATCAACTTGATTGACACTCCAGGTTCTCCTCTTCATTTATGCGTATATTGGAATATTTTTCTAAAGGCAGTCTGGAGAATTGTTGGACCATGATTTATTGAGTGGGTCAGAAATAAGACATGCACAATATTAAAGAACAGCCCATTGCACTGCACCCATTTTGAATAAATAAAAAGAATAAACATAAAAAATACATATATTCCTTTAATATGAGTGGAGTATCCTCTGAATGCCTCATAAAGCATTGTTGCTGACCATATGTGTCCTTTGTTGGAAAGTGTATATTATTCATTTTCAGTAGGACGACACAAATAGCTCATACACATTGTATTTTAAGCTGATTCTACATAGAAGACGTGCCTTTATTTGACCCCAGTGGCTGCACTGTCTGTGATGTCATTTAGCAAAGCAGATATTGGCATGGTTTGGCCAGAGATCTGCAGGAAATGTGCGATGCCAGATAGTGTAATTTGCAACTTTATTCCTTACAAACCATAGCCAGCATAGCATCCCTTCCATTGTTTAACCCATTCCGTTATTTTCCTTCCTTTGTGCTCGGCCCTGGCAAGCCACCATAACTAACTAGGTAGAGCCCCGCATAATAATTTCTCAATGTACGATGGTGGACTTGAATATACATGTATGTTATGTAAAATAAGTACATTTGTATCTGTGCAGGACATGTGGATTTTACGCTGGAGGTGGAGCGCTCACTGAGGGTGCTTGACGGCGCAGTAGCAGTTTTTGATGCTTCTGCTGGAGTGGAGGTAAGTGTACATGTAACTGATGGAACTCCCAGTACTGTAACAGTTCATTGAAGTTAGTCCAAGCATACCTTGGGACAGCAGATATCATTTAATATGCAGGCATGTCATAATAGATCACATTTCATGGCTGATGGGAAATGGCAATATGTTTAAAAGGGATACTCAAACCACCATCACAACTTCAACTTATTGTAGTGGTTATGGTACCGCAATCCCATGGGTGCTGCTCCCCTGTGTTCTGACAAAATGTTTTCAAGCAGTTTGGCAATAATTCAATATGCAAGCTGTGGTGGTTATGGTTCCCAGTGTCCCGTTCAGTTGCTACTATTTCTGGTCTATGATGCAACGTCTGCTTTCTTTTTATTCTATGTCTTTATACCAGTTATTCTATTAGTTGTGCTTTTGTTTCTATGTTTACTATGTGACGTGTCTTACTCTGGTGAAAATTTGAACTGTTATTCAGGCGCAGACGCTGACCGTGTGGAGACAGGCAGACAAACACTCCATACCACGCCTTTGCTTTTTAAATAAGATGGACAAAACGGGAGCCAGGTACTGAGAAAAAAATATAATCAGAGAGATTTACTGCGCTGTGATAAATGGGAGAGGTTTATCTCCTGTGAAAATTCCTGTATTCTATTTTGCATCTTTTTCAATATCTTAAAGAAGAGGCTTAATGGAAAAGTTATCATATTTATGACGTGGAACTATTCTGTTAATTACAGTTGTATTTGAAGATCCCCACTGTAGCAGATACATAGAAAGGCATTTGAAAGGGTTGTGTTCTGAAACATTGTGTAAAGTTCTAAACATGGGGAAAACACTCTGAAAATCAGGTACATGTCAAATCAGTAGAATCCGGTACATGCTTTTGGTGATGCCTTCCATGTTACATTTTTGCACCACTTATTATAATAGGACACTTTGATAAATCTGCACCATAGACTCTTATGCATCTCTTTAATATCTGGCCTGTAGCCTGTGATTAATAAGTTTATATTGTATGATGCCTTCACTTTCCTTGGCGTGATTGCGTTGTGTCCAGTAAATTTGATATTTCTAGCAGGTTAGGTTAAAAAAAAGAAAGCAGGGGGGAAATAAAACACACAAAGTTGCAGTTTTGGAAATTTCTCAAACTCCACTATAGTCACAGCAATGGCTATTTCAGCCTGAATAATGCAATTCGCTATTAAATTCTAAGAAATTTGCTGTTTAGTGAATAAATCCATATGTGTATGGAAACTTAAACCACAAATAGTATATATCTATATAAGGCAAATGTTACATATGGATCCCAAAAAAGAAAAGCTAAAATGCATTCTAAGAGAAAACTTTTAATTTACTATAATGCTCTCCTATAATGTATCTTTCGAGAGAGCTTATTTTTTGAGCTTCACAGCCATCCATTGCTAATCGTTTTCTAACATTGTGTTGCAGTCATTTTTTTTGATCGGGTCTCTGGAAGGGTCCTTTGTCGTTCATTTTGCCTTTTAAATTGAATCCTGTATACTAGTGACCTTCCCTTATTCAATAACATGCGCATGTTGTTTTTCTTGTCTTTTTTACTTCTAGTTTTTCATTTGCTATTGATAGTATCAAGGAGAAGCTGAAGGCCAAGCCATTGCTATTGCAGGCAAGTCGTGTATACTATGACACATTTACACGGTGATCTGATCTATTAAAATGACTGGAATTCACAGAGTATCCCTAATAGTGCCGCTCACAGAGTAATAACACGTGTAGCTCTGTTTACCCGCACAATATGTGTGTCCATCATTCTTTAAACTGCAGTGTCTACTTAGTTTCCAAAACCACTATACACCTATGTGACTGATCACACCAAAACTCAGGGTGCTTCATATAGCGTTAATTGCAAGGACTGGATTGCACTCCTTCACACTGCGGGATAATAATTTCTTTAGTACGCCATGATCAAAAAACCCTTTACTGGGGCCTGTCTCCCAAGAACAGCCAGAGACAAACCTTTGTTCACAGCATACAGTTTGTATGTAAGATGATGTATGATTGCATTGCATGTAATCATACTTTCTATATTTGTTGTTGATGACTAAGGGCAGATATCCCCGTGATACCAAACAGAAAGTCAACATCTTGGTGGTCAAGTACTTGAGTATATTCTGTTTTCATTTTATTTAAAGGGAAAGCAAAAGAATTTAAAAAAAATAAAAAATAAAAATTTTTTTACTATTATGACTTCTGACGTGGGCAAAATTTTATGTTACGTGGATTATTAGCAGAATTTTTGTATATATTTTTATTTACATTTCAGTTACCAGTAGGAGAGGCAAAAACCTTCCGAGGTTTGGTGGACCTGGTCACCATGGAGACGATCACATGGAATCCTGGGACCAATGAGGATGATGGAAGGACGTTTTATCGGAAAGCTCTGACTGAAACACATGATATAGAATTACTGGGAAAAGCCAGCAAAGCAAGAAATATCCTAATAGAACAAGTAAAAGCTTTAAAGTAAATATTTTAAATCGAAACAGTAGTATAATGTGCTTCATACAAATGTGTAATAGTTAGCAGGCAAGCCAACTCACTAGCAAGCAAAACGAGATTTTTACTTACTGTGATCATCGATTGATCTTTGGATAAGAGTTTAGAATTCAGTGATCACCAGTCAGGATTTAGTAACCAAGATATAGAAGCATCAGAGCTATAATGTCTGTGTTCAGCTGATATCCTTGGCTAAATAACCTGCACTTCAACTCACAATCGTGTTTAACAATCTACCTGTAACATATCTATCCATCCTTTCATCCTGTTTTGCACTTTGCTAACAACAACAACAGCCCCCATATTCCTAATGAGAAACCTAAGGATCCAGCAGATGCCTCAGGTGCAATCAGGGATATTAGCTAAATATTTGTGCACAACACTGTACAAATATGACACAGAATTATACTGGAATGTTTTAGGGTTACACCATATCTTTAGCCAGATTATACTTCCATGTATAGTAATGCTTCTCACGTACTGTTTAATATGTCCAGATTAGTTTAGAATTGATTTGTACTTTGCCTGGGTATTAACCAATAAATAAACGTGTATGATTAGCTGATTTTATTTGTTTTAATTGTCTTCCAGGTTGCAGATCTAGATGATGAGTTTGCTACTCTAATCATTGAGGAGTACAGTGATAGTTTTAATTTGATACCCGTGGAAAAGGTGCCTATTTATTTTTATTATACATTTTTATGAGGGTTGTTAAAGAACAGGACCGACCTACCAGATACAAGGTCTTGAAAGCTTTTCATAGCTCAATGCAAAACAATGCCTGTAAATTAGTTCATATTATAAATAAAGCAAACAAACAATAATAGATCACATCTAAACATGCTATAGTACATAACGAAGAGTGACTCGAGCTCATATTACTTGTTTTATTTTATGTTAAGTATATTATTATTCCCGTTTTCCAAATGAATACAATGAAAAGAACAGCAGTAGTAGCAATATGAAAGCTCAATGCATGTTTGGATTCCTCGTATACTTGTATAGGAAGTAGCAAGCATTCACCAAGGTTCAAGAAGGAGTGTGACCCCTGTTCTTTTAAAGCGGATCTGTCATTTTCAAGGATCATTGTATGTTTCACAAAGATCCCCAAAGTGACAGATCCGATGTGGATCCGGGGGCCATGCAGAGGCAATTGCTTGTTGCAGCCGCCATCTTCATATTTCTATGCTCGTCGGGTTCCTGGTGCTTCATTTGGCAGGAGCCACATAAGTGCACATGCGTGCGAGTACAGCACTGAGGTCTATGGAGGATCTTGCGAGACCGTGAGAGCCTACATAGATCAATATCTGAATCCCACAGTAGTCAATTGTGACGGTGTCTGGGATTGGACAAAGGTAGACAGCAGAGCTCCACGTTTTTGTCAACCTCAGATTTATCATAAGACCAAGTAGTCCCTACTTTCATTGAAAATTCAAAGCAGTCTTGATGAGTATTTCATAAAGATTATATTTTTATGAAATACTAAAATGTGACCAAGCTGCTTTAGGATACATACAGGTAGAAACTAATTATCCAGCTGCCTTTATAGCTTCCTACGGCTTAGTTAAAAAATATAAACATGCAGCAATCACATGTTGATTATTTGGCATAACTGGCTTTCAAGCTTTTTTCCTTGCAGTGGATCAGTATATATTCCTTCATGCTATTGAATATTATTTTAACAGAACATATTTGTTAGGACATTTTAATCTAAAGTTCTGTATAGGTTATTTATTATATAGTCCATTTTAAACTTGAGCAGGTTATTTGTTTATGCTTAACCTCTCGCAGAACATTGGAATAGCTATGAATACCCAAACATATTCTTGTACGTATTAACCATGAGACTTTGTGCACAGTTACAGCTTGCGATACGGAGAGTAACTCTGGCTCAGTCAGCGGTTCCAGTCCTTTGTGGAAGTGCTTTAAAGAATAAAGGTGTTCAGCCACTCTTGGATGCAGTTACTTTATATTTGCCATCTCCAGACGATTGTTCACATGATTTTGTGTAAGTATTATTCGTGAGGTTCAATCTTGCATGAGGTTAACAGCAAATTAATATTTCAGGATGATGCTTTGCGTTAGAGACACATTGATTTATTGAATTCATGTTTAGTTGTGTTCTTTAGAATGCTGGAGTGGAATCTAGAACAATGACCTAAAGGTCACAACTGAACATCTACCAGACTTCATATACTGTTTCGAAACAAACTTTACACATGTACCAGCTTGATATTTAAACTGTTCATAATTCCCAAAGGGACACTATAGGCCCTAAAGGGACACTATAGGCACTTCAGCTTATTGAAGTGGTCTGGCTGCAGTGCCTATCCCCGTAGTCCTGCAATGTAAATCACTGCAGTTTTTGCCTCTAGTAGTTGCCAATCATACAGCCACTAAAGGCACTTTCTGGTGGTTAGGCGACTTTTGGTTACCCGATCGACGTCCTCATGCTCTTCATGAGGACATCCAGCGTCAGTCATTTCCCCTTAGGAAAGTATTTAAGGAGGGCCTAAAGCACTCGCGGTCCATGCGCTTTAGCCCTTGACGGATGACATTAGAGGAGGCTGAGCGCCGACCCAGCACTGAGAGAGTTTGGCGTTGGAATCGTGTAAGTGTTAAAAGGGCTTTTAAACCATTCCTGTGCCGGGAAGGGGGAATACTTTGTATTCCTTACACCATAGATTCCCTTTAATTGTTCATAGACTTGTTCTATTCTCTGAACATATTGTATATGTAAATAGCTACCAACTGAAAGAGTGAGATAGAAAAAAAAAACACTCACTCAAAAGTGAATGGGATTCAATCTCACTCTAGAAGATTACCTCCTAAAGTAAACGTAACAAAGAAAATGGTAATAACCTTTATTGAACTAAAATTAAGCAAAGAAAATATATATAATAGGTATAAAGCTTACCCTGGATAGAAACACCATAGAAAGTTGTGTTAGTGAAAATCACATAAAAGTGAGGAATTAAAAACCTGGGGATATGTTCCTTAATCTCATAGAAAATGATATATATATTGTATGTGCACATACGTATAGAGTCCGCTAAAATAAATAGTAGTAAGGCCTCTAAAGAGGACCAAGTAAGACTATAGGGACATCCGATATGTGGACCAATATATAAGAGAAATGGAAGATAAGTACAGACTGCTCCGTCCGTTTCTCTTATATATTGGTCCACATATCGGATGTCCCTATAGTCTTACTTGGTCCTCTTGTAACCTACCTTGGGGTTCTGACGTTGGCTAGTCCAACATCACCACTCCTATCTCATATTTATATTGTATATGTATATATTGAAACATAGATGTGATTATACGGATTGATGTATATGTTTGTTTGCAGGAAATGGTACGAGAATGACTTGTGTGCTTTAGCGTTTAAGGTTGTTCATGACAAGCAGCGTGGTCCCCTGGTTTTTGTGCGGATTTACTCTGGAACAATGAAACCCCAGTCAGCAGTGCACAATGTGAACCAGAACTGCACGTACGTTACCTGCACTTTTATTGTTATCCATTTAGATATGATTATCATCATATACATTCTTGTAATGTTACATTTATTTTAAACAGGGAAAGGATGAGTCGTTTACTTCTGCCATTTGCTGACCAGCAAGTGGAAATCCCCTCTTTGTCCCCTGGAAATATTGCATTGACAGTTGGACTAAAACAGGTAAGCAGAAACATTTACATAAAGGGACACTATAGTCACCAGAACAACTACAGCGTATTGTATTTGTTCTGATGTGTATAATCATTCCCTGCAGGCTTTTTGCTGTAAACGCTGTCTTTTTAGGGAAAACGCAGTGTTTACATTACAGCCTAGAGATATTCTTTCGTGAGATCAGCAGAATTGACAATCTCTACCAATCATATTTGCTTTCGTATGGGAAAGAATTGTGATTGGCTGAGAAAATCACTTCTGATGATGTCAGTCAAGGAGGTAGATCTGGGCCAGAGCCAGCACCAGCAGACTGGAATAAAGGTATGCTTTAACTATATTTAGGGGGACAAGGGGAAGACCTGGGCGTTAGATGGTGTTTTTAACACTATGGGATCCTGTGTTCCTGACCCTATAGTTTTCCTTGAAAGATTAAATATTTATGGTTTAAACATCATCTGTCTCTGTTTATCCCGTAGTTTCGCTCAGTCTCTCCTTATCTCTGTTAAGCCTGCAGTTTGGCTCCCTTTCTTGCTGTCTCTGTTACAGGGAAAAAGCGAGCAATACGGCAGGCGATTCTGTTGCCCCCCTCTACATTTTCTATGTTGCACACGCTGTATTCCTGCCATGCTATCGCCCATATTGAGAAGTTGGTCTGAAGTATGGAGGTTTCATTTGAACGTTTGTTAATTGTTGGAATAATAGGTGAATTGGCACTGCTCTTCCTCTGCCACATACAGAGAGAGTGGTTAATACCTTATTAGTTATGTTACAGAATGGCTGTACTCCAATATCTACCCTGTTTAACCTGATGAGTGGTTAGAAATAATACTGATATTTTTTACTAGCCTGCGGATAGCTTGATGAGTTACAAAATATTTCCTATTTAACTTCTGTGAAAACACAACAGCTATTATATTCCGTGGGCAGTAGGTAGATGCATCTAATTACATTACATGCTACCGGAAACCAGCGATTTTGTTGGGTCTTTAAATTGTAACATCAAGCGTGTTACTGCATTGTAATCAGTTTCTGTCTCCTGATTTCTTACAGACCGCTACAGGAGATACCATTGTTTCTTCGAAAGCATCAGCAGCGGCTGCTTCCCGCAGGGCTGAAAGAGATCGTGACCAAAAGAGCAAAGACCGCAAGGCACAGAGCAGCCTTGTATTGGCCAGCGTGGAAGTCCCAGAGCCAGTGTTTTTCTGTACTATAGAACCTCCATCTGTAGCCAGACAGCCAGGTACAGTACTGCCTCGTAAAAGCCCACAGTCTTGTCTTTCTTAAAAGCTCCCGAACCATAGAATGTTACATAGTTACATAGCTGAGAAGAGACTTTCTAAGGCTGGACCCCAACCATCTTTTCTTCCACAGTCAGTGCTTTATATCTATTGCATCATCACGGGCCTCAGAGTTATTTGACCTGTAATTCATTAATATCTGGCGTTCTGAGTTTTTACACATTTGTATAGATAATTAGCTGTTTTTAGAGAAATCTTAACAATTGGACTTTTACATGAATTAACAACTCTTCATGTTTTCTGCTGAAACTTAAATATATTTATATTAGTGTTGTAGAATTATTAGGCCCCTTTAAATCCTCTTGCTATACCTCTAAGAGGCCCCCATAGTTTTACAAGAAAGCTTTGTCTATAGAACATAAAATTTGCATGCCAGCAAGAAATAGCTTTGATAAAATGTGTATTTACTAAAAGCCTTGAAACCTAACCTTGAGAAACTAACAAGTGCCAGCTACGCTCTAAATGGATAGCTGCCAAAAGGCCCCTCCCGTCGAGTGAGCTCCTCATGTTAGCAAAATGGCGCTAAAACCTGGAGGAGATAATCATGACGGGGATAGTGACCTAAGAATGGGGAGGGCATTTTACTAACATCTTAGCACCTAAGCCAATTAACAATGTCTATTTGTCTATATCTTGATTTTCTTCAGTGATGTAATAATGCCTTTAAAAGGGTCTGCGCACCCATTTTCTGTCAGAAACCATTAAACTTCTCCGAAGTTCTTTCATTACCCTGAACTTTGTGTCTCAGTGTGAATTTACTTCTGCGTGCACGCAACTTTATTATCTTTAATTTGGACAGGAACAGATAGTCATTCAAACTAATTGGTTTGCAGTAAATCAACTACAACATTAGTAAAGAGAATCATTCACTGTCATCCACTTTAATAAATTATAATTCCAAAATAGAAAAAAGCCCCTCTAGATAAATAAATAATATATACTCTAGCTTTGTGTCATTCAATTTATAGAAAGTGGTCATAAGCTGTTATTGATTTAAAATTTACTTACACCAGTCTTGGAATAGTTATGTGAATATACAATTTGGCCTCATCCACCCCCCCACCCCCCAAACTCTGCATTAAAAAAATGCAAAAGTGTAATTTTTTTAATATTGCTTTTAATGTCACAATTCCCCTATCTTGTTTCTGATCGTTTGTGCAATGTGTCTCAATACCATTCCCTTCTTTTCTCACCTATAAAATCAAATTATCATTAACGTGTAAAGTAAAAAATGGATCATGACTACAGTGTTAATTATAACATCTGTTATGATAGTTATATGATTTACCTGGGTTCTACATATAATAGCTGTCTTTACCCTGTCTTTTAATTACACAGAATGCATATAAATTCATATCTTGTTATAATGTTCCTATTAACCCTTTCCAAAAAATATAGATTTGGAAAATGCCTTAAAATATCTGCAGCGGGAAGATCCAAGCTTAAAAGTGAAGATAGATCCTGATTCTGGCCAAGTAAGCTGATAAGTGTATTTGTATCGATGTGTGTGTGTGTGTATATATACATATATACACACACACACACACACACTCTATATATTTGTATATATACACAGAAGATCTTCCGGTAAAAGTAGGTTTAAGCATGCCTGTTATGTTAATAGCTAATAGATTAAAAAGGCTTGAATGTATGGTTACCAGATTATCCATTTAAAGTGTCAGTCCACAAATAAATCGCTATTTAGTATATAGTGCCCCTATAACATCATGCATTAATTTAATAATGCAATTTTTTATTGGAGTTATAACTAAAAGCACTTTTGTGAAAGCTGCATGTAGCGGACCCCGGGTAACTCGACTGGTTACCTCCGCTAATTCCTCCTCTCAACCAGACTAGAACCATTAAACACTCAAGCAACCATTACCAAGTAACTAGATGAGACATAGTTCTGAGAGTCAACTGATTTTATTTTGGCCACACACTGCTTTTATGCACTGACCCCTAGCATGGGATCTCCAACACAACATTACAGGGTTTTTCCTCCCAAGATCCTCTGTGTCTGAGAGATAATTAAGTGCGAAAACTATAACTCAATTATCTCTCAGTTACAGGAAAATATACCCAAAATATACAATGCCCCAATATAACCAGAAACCCCACTAATTATATCCCCGGATAGCTCTGATCTGAGTGTCCAACTTGGCCAGGTATCACTCCGATCCATTTGGCAGGATTGGATCGCCACTGGGGTTAAATTTTGACCGGCCATGAGGTGATGGCCCAAAACAGTTCCAGGGAAATATGTGCCACGGTCGGTCTCTGTTTGGGGGTTCCTGAGCGAACACCATAAAAGGATTCTCCTGATTTTAGGGAGCGAATGCTCCCCCCAGTCGGTAGTTCCCATCTCCCGAATGTCGTTTGCATAGGTGGTTGGGAAGTAGGATGGGCAGCGATATAATCTTTAGAAGTTCCAGGCACTTGACGACCAAGTACCACTGCCCACGTTCGGCCATCCAAGGGAAGCTTAATGAAGTGGTCTGGGTGCCTGGTCCTTCTAGGGTTAACCCATTTTTTAATAAACATAGCAGTTTCAGAGAAACTGCTATGTTTATTAATGGGTTAAGCCTTCCCCCTATTCCCTCTAGTGGCTGTCTCATTGACAGCCACTAGAGGTGCTTGCGTGCTTCTCACTGTGATTTTCACAGTGAGAGCACGCCAGTGTCCATAGGAAAGCATTGAGAATGCTTTCCTATGAGACCGGCTGAATGCGCGCTCAGCTCTTGCCGCGCGTGCGCATTCAGCCCAGAAGGAGGAACGGAGGAGGAGAGAAGGAGGAGAGCTCTCCGCCCAGCGCTGGAAAAAAGGTAAGTTTTAACCCCTTTCCAGAGCCGGGCGGGAGGGGGTCCCTGAGGGTGAGGGCACTATAGTGCCAGGAAAACGAGTGTTTTCCTGGCACTATAGTGGTCCTTTAATTACTTCCCTTGCAGTTTCGCACTTAAGTTGCTGGTGTGGATGTTCTAATGGGGTACAGGGGTGGTCCTCGTTCGGGCACAACAAATCCCGAACGTATAAACAGAAAAATCCACAAAGGGACTGTATGTTCCGCCACACTGCAGATCTCTTGTAAGCAGACTTTGCAAGCCCTCCCCTTCTAACCAAGCCCAGACTTTCTCTGGTTGACCAATCACAGTCTTCCTAACACAGCTCAAAATGAGAAGTCTTTGTAAGGCAGGTGCTCTAAACAATTGCTTGAGTTTAGCTACACTGAGTTAACAAAACCAGGAAGAAACAGGACCGGTTATCTGAATGAAAACCAGGGGCATGTAACAAGGTTTATGCATGGTAGGCATAAATAAAATGAAACCACACAATAACCACAGACAACGTTTAATTGCTTTTCAATGGGCTTGGCCATGGTGCTTATTGAAAGCTCAAGGGGCTTACAACAACACCTTTCAAAATGTTTAACTTTATTAACCACCAAATAGCCAGTCAGTCATAACTAACCTGACCGCCTTTTATTTAAAACCATTTACCACCGTATCATACACCATTCACCTTTCAGGCTCTTAAAAGTGTGTATTAACGGAGATTTTTGTTACCACTGTTTAGTGAACCTGTCCCTTTGATCTCTACAGTTGGTTGGGATTTCTATGCCTGTCGCAGTCAAATGACTTGGCTGAATGTCTTTTTCTCATGTCTTTGCTATATCAAAGCAGGAGTGCTGGACCAGCATTTGCAAGTTTGACAGTTTTCCATTCTTCTGAATAAAATAGATATTAAAGAGAGCAGTAATAACTATTAGCTTCCTATTCGTTTAAATGCAAGCGTAGATTCATTTTAGGAGAAATTCCCTGTATAATAGACGATGGTTATTCTGATTAATAGACACATTGTTGTGTGATTACACCTTTCTAATCATTGCCCATTAGATGATTCTCTGTGGGATGGGAGAACTGCACATTGAGATCATCCATGACCGCATCAGGCGTGAATACGGACTCCAGACGTACCTGGGCCCTTTGCAAGTTGCATACAGAGAAACCATATTGAGTCCGTCTAGTGCATCAGGTGCGGTTTCATATTTCTTTTGTTGTTTTAATATTCTGATTTGACACTGGAAAGTATTCTGTTAGAAATGACTTTAACTATTGGGTAGAAAAGCTCTAGAGAAACCGTATTATTCTTCCCACTTCCTGAAAGTACAATCTTATTGAACTATATGCAGGGGAAACACATGGCCTTAAAAAACCAATTCATGTTAATTCTCAACTAGCACCTTCTTACATCTAAGAGTTAGTGTTTTCAAACTGGCCGCTTATAATGAGTAATTCTTTACAAAAATTACACACAATTTTGGTGGTGGTGGATTCCAGGGACCATAACCACTTGACATGAAGTAGTTATGTAGCCACGAGTTGCCCTTTAAACATATAAGAGCCTAGGTCTCAAGGGAAAGAAAAGTAGAACATCCCTGGGTGTGCCTTTCTAAAAAGAGCCCTGAAGGTTTTAAGAGACCTGGCCTGCAAAAAGAGGCTACATTCTCCTGCTGAGAAGGACAGGGAAACTGTCTTATAGGAAGTGAGCAGTCATCTATATCTACTATCAGAGTACTGTTACCTGCATTCCGCTGTTAGAGGCGGAGCTTCCTGTTAGTTCATGCTGCCATAATATTATCTAGAACACATTTTATGCACGATGAGGGTTATGTTTGGAAATGTAAGTGGGTTACATGGAATTGTTCAGCAGTCTTAGCAATATTCTACCCAACAGAAAGTCTTGCTTTGTTTTATGTCCTCTAAATAGTGATGTCCCGAACTGTTCGCCGAATGGTTCGCCGCGGACTCTTCATTGAGTAAACTTTGACCCTGTACCTCACAGTCAGCAGACACATTCCAGCCAATCAGCAGCAGACCCTCCCTCCCAGACCCTCCCACCTCCTGGACAGCTCACTAAGAATGCAGCTTCACAATGGATGCTGTCTGGGAGGGAGGGTCTGCTGCTGATTGGCTGGAATGTGTCTGCTGACTGTGAGGTACAGGGTCAAAGTTTACTCAATGATGAGTCCGCGGCAAACCGTTCGCGAACAGTTCGGGACATCACTACCTCTAAACAATATCACATAATAAACATTACATAAGTGTCACAAGATTGGCATGATCACATCTTGGACAAGCACATACTTCAGTGCCATGAGTTAAACTTGTTTTGCCAACTCACACCCTAAATGCAAAGGTCCGGGTTGTTTACAATGGTTTTACATCTTGTACCTTGTTACGTCTGTTCCATACCAAGTATCATATTAACTCATCAAGAGCGTTGGCAAGACACCGCTGTCACAAGATGAACCGAATAGTTGTTTTAGAAAATGGGAACAAGTAACGCATAATGGTTTCTAATATTCTAGCATTATTTTCTATATCCGTTTGTACAAAACGTCTTCTTGCCATATACATTTTCATATGGTGTTCTTCTTTACGTGTTTCATTGTCTGACTGCTTACTTTGGAGCAGTGATGTCTAGCTAACAGCTCTGCAGTTGTTATGGACTGTGTTTCTCATGATGCTTAGCCAGCCAAGTGGTCCATATCTTTAACGAGGGTCCTATCTGATGGCCTTTAGTTATAGAAACCACGGACTACATCATGAGTAATGTAGTCCATAATATATTTTTATATATAATATATAAAACTAAAATTAGTATTTTATGTTATTACAAATTGCCAATCATTAAACATAGACGTTTATATTGTTTTTTTCCCATCATTCCACCAGACACCTTGGATAGAACAGTAGGTGATACCCGCCATCTGGTGGTGGTAGACCTGGAAGTTAATCCAAATCCTGATGCAGGCATTAGTCCAGTTATTGAGTATGCAGAGAATATTCCAGACTCTCTACTTAAGGACTTCCAAGAAGCCATAGAAAACGGCATTCAAAGTTCTTTCCTGCAAGGTGAGAAAACTAAAAGAAAAGAGAAAAAGGTAAAGGGTGCGCCTTAAAAATAAGTGAAAATAATACTTTTATAGATATACAAAGGTCTGCAATAGTCCAAAATTGGAGTGATACACGTTGGCATGAGAAAATCCTTTTGGGACAGCGAATGGGGTATATGGTCACAGGTGAAGACTCGTAGTCCAAAAGAGTGTGTGTATGTATGTATGTATGTATATATATATATATATATATATATATATATGTGTGTGTGTATTTATATAAAGCAGAAGACAAAAGATTCCAATGGTACAGTATGTCTTAATCAATAAAATATCGGATAAATAAAAAGAAACTACTCGCACTATCCAGAGCTTAAGTCCAGCTCTGGTTTAAATGGCGTGAAATGGAACAATCCCCACTCAAGGATATGCAGAGTGTCTCTAGTGATCTTCAATATACCGGCCCAGTAGGAGAATCCAGCTCGGGATGAGATGAAATATATAGTGCTCCCTGTATGGCTGTTAACAGTAGTAAAAAGTAGGATAAAATATACTCACGGTATATTGAGCAGACGCACTGCTCGATGAATAGCGTGTGGGTGGTACAATCCCCACTTTGGGATTCTTGGTACTTCTTATGAATCGTAGAAAAATGGTGTCAGGTCAGGATAAAAAAGAAAATAAAATACCAAAAATAAAAAATAATAATAAAAAATGGTAATGTAATATAGCTATATGTTTCTACTTGATGAAGCCAGCAGTGGCGAAACGCGTCTAGAAACCTTTCAATATTTATTGTTAAGTGTTAATAAAGGAATTTTGGGGCTATTTCTATAATGTTGCCATATTCCTTTTTTCACTATATTTTGTATATCTATAGAAGTATTATTTTCATTTATTTTTAAGGCGCACCCTTTTCATTTATTCTCTTTTCTTATCCTGAGTGGACCCCCCATTCTATAGGTGTGCTGCCTATACTTTACACTCTTCTATTCCTGTTGTCATATCAGCGCTGACCCCTTTTTGTGTTCTTCCCTATAAGAGAAAACTAAAAGTTCACTTACATATTTTTATTTTTTACTAGTTTTTCCTGTGTAAGGGTTATCATCCAAACCTTAATGAAGGGATACAATTTATGCCATTTAATTTTTTTCCACATTGCTCATAATGGACTCACAGCCACAAGTCATTAACCAGTTTGATAAGCCCTCTCTCCAAGAGGAAAGAACCGCCTGTAATAATTTTTGTCGATACAGAAGTGGCAGTGAGCTAGGATAATACCCAACGTGTAGCAATCAAAAACCTATTTTGCTGATCTTTGTGCACACTGGTAATATTGTTTGTGAGATTTGTCATAGCTTGTCCCCTTTTCCCCCTCTCGTTAGAGAGTCCATAAATAGCTATGAAAACTGTGTTAATGTGCCTTTCTATTCCCAGGCCCTTTGCTCGGTTGTCCCATCCAGGATGTTGCCGTTACTGTACTTGCAGTCAATGTACTTCCTGGTAGTTCCATTACCATGGTGTCTGCGTGTGTCTCCCGATGCTTACAAAAGGTAAATCTCCATACTTGTTTAAATGATAAAATAAAACGAATTCTCCTGTTCTCTATTTGTTTTTGCCAAATAAAAATATATGTTTGATTAAGTTGTATTTTTATTCAATTTTAGTAATGAACCAATCCTTATAGCGTATACATGCTATGAAGTTCTAACCATAAATAAAATACTAATATCAAAAAAACCATTCCAAATCCGCATTAAGACCTTGTCATTCCAAAGTGCCTAATTTGTGAATCCAATAGGATTCCCTCTGATCTAGTTTCCATTCTCTGTTCCCTCCCCTACCCTCAAAATGAAAGTCCCTAAACTTGAATTTGGGACATTGGTTACCGTGTAGCAACATAGAATGCAATCTAAAATGTATTTATGCTGTTAAGGTGTTCCAGTATTTATGTTTTCATTTTCTCTCATTCGACAACTGATGCGGTAGATTACAAATTGTGCATTACATGTTATTTCAGATAAAATGTTGTTTTGTTTTGTTTTTTTAACATTTTACCTTGCTTGAAAAGAAAACACATACTTTTAGAATAGATTAGTAATGTCAAAAACTAGATTTGGACAAATCTCTTTTTAAAAGGATAGTACAATAATCTTACTCCTGAGCACGGGTTAACCCCTAGTGCAACGAAGTGCACTATAAAACTAAACAATACGGAAGGGAGACAGGATAAATGATAGTGTCCTGCAGAGTGGTAGTTGCCTCGTTATAAAGGGATGACCTTAGGATAGGTTGGGCTCGGGGAGATTAAAAAAGAGGAAAGATAATTAAAACTTCACTTTTAATGTACATAGTTAAAAGGGGGGTATACAAACAAATTTTAGTTCAAATAACTGTTGTAAGAAATCCTCAAGTGATACAGTTACACTGCCTGTTAACAGAGTGAAATACCACTGTGGGAACGACAGCTACAAATTAGTAGTGTTAATAATGTATCGATATACCAGTATCCGGGCTCAAGGAAAAATAGCCAAGTCCCAGTGAGCTGCACTGAAGCTGCTAACTAAGCTGATAACAATATTTAACGAAACTGCAGTGTCTGAACTCCAAAACAAGCTTGAGAGTGCCAGTATACCGCAGAAAATAGCATCTCAGAAATGATGACACGGTCCTGTGTTAAAGACCGTGAGAAATGGCATCTAGAGGTATGTGCTGGAGGGAGTATGTGCAGTTTGGTAACTAGGAGGTACAAATTGCAAAATGTTGCCTGGTAGATTCTGCAGGAACTGGCACAATGACCAACAAGCTATGGTTAGAAAGGGGTTAACTACAAAAACACTCAAAATCCTAGTGTTATGGTATGTGCAGGCGGGCGTACCTGCAGTATAGTAACTAGGAGGTGCAAACTGCAAAATGTTGCCTGGTAGATTCTGCAGGAATTTAAAAAAAGATAGTTTCAGAAACCGAAATCGCTGTGCCTTTTAGGCTTTGATCATGTGATTCTTTGATTGTTAGATCAAATAATCATCAACCACCATGGATAAGTAAAAACACTTGCTTATTGGCACAATACTCAACCATGATCAGAGGCGAGAGAGTGTTAGCAAAAACTCTACAACAGTGCAGTCCCATTCTAATGTCTATTCATTTCTTTACAGGCAAGGTATACATGTGGAAGAAACTATTGATTCTAACTGGGTATTTAATACATTTTATTGCTTTATAATCAAACATTTAAAAAGGGAACTTATTTTATTAAAAATTCATTGCAAGCTAGCTAGCCAAAATCCCCTGCCTTATCAGTAAATGATTGAATACATATTTTATCCACTAAGCATAAAATTAAATTGTATAGAAATGAGAAGTGAAAACCTGATTAAAAAAAAAAAAAAAAAAAAATTACCCAGTAGTTCCAGTTCCAGTTTGTCAAGGCAGATGTGGTTAGTTACACAATATCAACTGCTGAGCGATTGATCCAGTCGGCCGAACACACTCTCATAGTCCAATTACAGTCCACTGTGCACGCAAAAAAAACAGTTCATTGAACTAAACAAAGTTTGTTTTGCAGGCAGTGGTTCAAAATCAGATTGCTTATTCACAAACAGAAACTGAAAACGGACTAACCTTGCTTTCCAATAGTACTGTAATTGCTGTAATACTAAATTATGTTCTGTTTAGCAACTAGGAACAAACTATGTAGGTCTAGATAAGCAAGACATTCTAAATTTGAAGGAGATCATAGCAAAGATATAGTTTGTAACATTTTACAAGCCATATGTAATGCTGGTCTTCATTTTTACCAATTGTCAAAGTTTTATTAAAGGGAAAGTACCTATCTATAATTCTTTTTATATAATGTTTACTTATCCCTCTATTTAACACATCTGTTTGTGAGGTGTAAAAAATAAAGTTAAATGAAGAAATCCACATTCTTTAACCTACACCTTGGAGCCTCCATCTTAGATTCCTGTCAACCAATTGTTATAAGCTCTTTTTTTTTCACCTGCCATTCTGCATACAGAACAAAAGGAGAAATGAAAATGTTTGTATTTCTCCTCTTCGTCTGCAGTTTCTGCCCTGGCTTTGCCTTGCCTGAGTAGGATTATGATATTATTTGCAAAATTTGAAAGAAAAAATAGATAATCATTTTATGCAATAGTGTAAATTCCGTAAAGAAAATGTTTGTTTAAAACGTTCAAGGCTTTAGATCTTTACTGAATTATTCACTAAAGCGAAAATACAGAGTGAATTCAAAATTCATTTGACATTTTTGGACAAAGTATCTGAACTCCAAGCACAGTTTATTTAGAGATGTTTTTCAATTTGGGTAAAAAACCTGAAATTGACATTGAATAGTAACGTTAGTGAATAACACTAATAATGTCTAAGTATTTTTGAATAAGGTGCACAAGCCAGCCCTTACTGTATTGCTTTATGTTTAACAATATGACTAAAGAATTGTAATTACCCTTTAAAAGCAAGATTTTTAGCAGACGTGTGTGTTAACAGTGTGTCCTGTAACTCGTTAACTTTTATAATTACTGCATTGCCAGACATATTGGTTATCAATCATTTTGAAAATGCACAAGTAAAACAATCATGATTTTTTTTTTTTTACTCTCTGTACAGGCTCTGAAGAAAGCAGAAAAGCAGGTCCTGGAGCCTCTAATGAAACTGGAGATAACTCTGGGTGAAGAATATCTCAGTACCGTATTGGGGGACTTGGCCCAAAGGAGGGGTAGCGTTCAGGAAATTCAGAGCCGTTCTGATAACAAAGTCATCATAGCATCTGTACCTCTCGCTGAAATGATGGTAATACCTATATCTTTTTAAAAACCACATTTATTCCCTGTTTTAAGTTTCCTTATTTATCTCTAAGATGGAAACTTAGGTGCTATTTATCTATTGTTTGTTTTATCGTTTTTGTGTTATCACAAGGTTGGGGAGTCTTCGTAAAGATCTACTGCAGCCTCCATAGAGCGCACCTATATATATTTTATTTTTCAATCCGTATGTTGTGCAGACCTCATACATATCATTATATTTATACTTAGGAGGTATCCACTATCTCACTAATAAGCTTAGGCTATTTTACTATGTATCCATGGACCTCTAGTATGTAATTGAGGGTTCTGCGGATTCTTTACGATCCAGACACATATTTAATATACCATTAATACGGTGGTCCACATATTTTTACCTGATCCCTTTAAGGACTATTACTATTTTCTACATTAGACCCTGTATACTTAATTGCGGTATTTAGGGCAGATCTACTCAGGCCTTTAAAGTCATATCACTGTGTTTTCACTTTATCACTGTTTATACACGTTTTGGGTGCGTAGCAATTTAGGAGTTTATTTATTTTATTTTGTGGCTTAATAAAGGTTTATACCATGTATATGTAACTTTACTTTAGGAGGTATTTTTTTGAATGTGAGTGGGTTCCACCCACTTTGAGTGAGTGGTTTCCCACCCCATTCTTCCGCTATCTTCATATCTATCCTGGGGTTATGCCCCTCAATACCCCCTGTAACCTTCTTTGAGGTACTAGTGCTGGCTAGTCCAATACCATAACCTATTCATCTCTTTCTATTTTTTATTTTTACTTAATTTCCAATAGAAATCGATGTTCTTTAGAAATCAAAGGTTTTCCAATGTGTCCCTGTTCTTAGATGGCGTGCTTGAGATTAATTCTGTTTGACCCTTGTATTCAGGTGTTCCCTTATGCCAGGGGTGCCCAAAAGGTAGATCCCCAGATGTTTTAAAACTACAGATTCCATGACGCCATGACATTCTAAAGGCATGCAAAGCATCATAGTAGTTGTAGTTCCACAACATCTGGGGATCTACCATTTGGGCCCCCCTGCCTTAGGCACACTAACCTTTAGGGTCAAATTGCGATGAATTTGTTGCTTTGAGTTTGTTGGGATAAAACACTGAAGGGCAAGAAGTCAGTCAGTTATGTACTAAAGACAGCAGCTAAAGTGAATTTTACATTTAAAGCCAAATTAGCTGAACTGAAAGCAGAGTTAGAGAATTGTTCCAGTTCAGCTATTTTCACTTTGAATTCTCACTTGAGTGATTTAACCCCAATTGTGTTTCTAAAGAAATAAGCTGGTTACCAGAGGGCATGCTTTATACATTAAACCCAATTAAAACACATTGTGATTTCACGTTTTCCTCTCTGCAGGGATACTCTACAGACCTGCGTTCCATCACCTCAGGATCAGCAACATTTTCACTTGAACTTTCTAACTACGAAGCTATGAACCCTCATGATCAGTATACTTTGCTCAAGAAGAGAGGGTTTGTATAAAGCTCTGTGTGAATGGAATTCTGGAAATTAACATAATAATGATGTCAATTTTTCTATTAAATAAAATACATTGTAAATACCGGCTATTGAAGTAACCTAGGTCTGCCACAGCATATCGATTTCACGGTTTAGATTGTCTGTGTATAATTTAACTTGCATTCAATCGAAAAGCTCCATAGCAGCCATAAATAAATAAAATCTTTACAGCAGCTCGATACGTGTGAGTAAATCCAAGAGCTCCACATTGCTACAACTCACACAGGGTTTTTTGTTTTTGTTTTTTTTATTAAATTCTCAATCACAGCAAATTAAAATCTAAATTGCAGAATTTATTCCAAAATAATTGTTGTGGACACATTCACCAACTCTGCTATAGTTACAGTCTTGCTAATTTAGCTATTCAGATTTAAATCTCATTAAATCCATGAAGTATAAATTTCAGAAATTCAGATTCAAATTCAGAGTTATTCCAGGTTGAGCATTTTGAATTCCCTACAAGTCACATTAAATGGACACTATAGTCCCCAAAACAACTTTAGCTTAATTACTCACTTTTGGTGTATAGATCAGCCCCTGCAGCCTCACTGCTCAATCCTCTGCCATTTAGGAGTTAAATACCTTTGTTTATGAACCCTAGTCACACCTCCCTGCATGTGACTTGCACAGCCTTCCATAAACACTTCCTGTAAAGAGAGCCCTATTTAGGCTTTCTTTATTGCAAGCTCTGTTTAATTAAGATTTTCTTATCCCCTGCTATGTTAATAGCTTGCTAGACCCTGCAAGAGCCTCCTGTATGTGATTAAAGTTCAATTTACAGAGAAAGAGATACAATTGTTTAGGATAAATTACATCTACTTGAAAGTGAAACCAGTTGGTTTTTTGTTTTGTTTCTTTGTTTTTGTTCCCATGCAGGCTGTGTCAGAGTCAGGGGAGGTGTGACAAGGGCTGCATGAACAGAAACAAAGTGATTTAACTCCTAAATAGCAGTGAATTGAGCAGTGAAACCTGAGAAGCATGATCTATACCAGGCATAGGCAACCTTCGTCACTTCAGATGTTTTGGACTACATCTCCCATGATGCTTTGCCAGCATTATGGGTGTAAGAGCATTATGGGGGATGTAGTCCACAACATCTGAAGTGCCGAGTGTTGCCTATCCCTGATCTATAAACTAAAACTGCTTCATTAAGCCAAAATTGTTTAGGTGACTATAGTGTTCCTTTTAAGTGTATAATCCTGACACTCATACATGCCTCACATTCCACTTTTGTTTCTCAGTGGATCTAAATGATACAACAAAGTGCCACTACAATAAAACTCAGAGTGCTGCAGCAATACTATTAACTGTATAGAGCACAAATACATTTCAGCTGTTCACGAACAAATCACGAACAAATCAAATGTCTTGTAATCTGCGCCTAAACAAACTGACCCCCGTTTTGGTATTCAATAAATTACATTTCACAGGTAAATCCTGGACTCAAAGGTAATTGATTAGTTCGTACCAGCTGGAACAGATTTGTGCACAAGTCTAGTATAGATTGCATCCGCTTTCTCTGATGTCACCTGACGCAACAAGCGCTGCAAGTGCATTAGGCCTTTCCCACAGGAAAGCATTGCTGCAATACTTTTATATGGATACTTAATGGACAATGGATGTCCTCATGCAGAGCGTGTGGATGTCCTGCATCAATTACGTGATCAAAAGTCACCTAGCAAGCAGGACATTCCTCTAGTGGCTGTCTTAGTCATGCAATGTAATTATTGCGGTTTCAATTACTATTGCAGAGTTAAGGGGACAGGGACATTGCACCCAGACCACTTCAATGAGCTGAAGTGGTCTGGGTGCCTATAGTGTCTTTGTATATTATTATTATTATTATAATATTTTAAAAAAATAGGAGTCAATAGAACCCTCCTATATTAGTATATTGTATAGGCATGAAATCTTCCTTATGCCTGCACCTGCCATGCTGCATGAGGGGGCAAATCTACTAAACTAAATATATAGCAACATCCCATTGTACCCCAGCAATAGCTGCCAAGTCACTTTTTTTTAGTTACATTTATTAGACATGCCCTCATCCGCACCATGCTAGGTGGGGGCACAAGGGAGATCTGATCTATTCAGATCTGCAGCTCTCCTCTTTGTGATAGGCAAGCAGGGTCCAGTCTAAACCCTTATACTTTGGAAGCCTTGTGGGTTGTGGTCATATTGTACAGTTTTGTATACCTAACACTATAGTGTTCCTTTTACTCTTAAATATGGCAGCTGGTCAGCCAGCAAATGGTTTTGATTTTAAAAATCCAGTTCTGGATCAAGAGATCCCCCAAAAAACCTTTTGTATATACAGAACTTGTGCAACCTTTCAAAATATGAGACAGTATACTTCTTATAGGCAAAGTCTGGATGAACTTAAAAATTTGGAAATGTGTACAGTTGCCGATCAGAAACACAGAATGTTTATGGAATGTTTTAATGCTACCATTAGAATCCATCACAATATTGAAATGTTGAAACCTTTGCTTAGTTCCGGATTTATTCTAGACACAGAAAACCCCATCCTTGTGATGGAATTATACTGTTGGGTCATTTACTAAAGAATCCCAATTATGTGTCCAAAACAAACAATTGTCATTTGACCTGGAAGATGATCCATTTATGGTGTAACAAGCTTGGGTATGAACAGATCCGAGAAAATGGCATAGGTAGGTATTAATAGAATTAAAAAATTTCTCCCTCTAGTAGAAAATTACCACTACTGCAAACTGTATTTTACTCTGTGTACACACACAGTTCAAGTTGTATTTTATAATGCGACCGTTTTAGAACGGTTTAAACTGGAAATTGGTCCTATTCCATGTGAGCACATTACCTCCATCAGTCCTTGAACTACCATACAGTCCATGAAGGATTGTTTTGGCAGTTGGTGATGGTGTAAGATCAGCAGAGAGTTGCAAGGAATAATGTGTAGGTGGCGGCAGTGCGGTCCAGTACCAGAAGGGACACCTTTTTGGTTACACTGCTCAAAAACCGTTTAACCCCTGAATGTAAGATGGCACCCAGTGACTAACACCACAAAACAAATAGAGGTGAAGAGGTTATGATAAAGGGCTGGGATTTCCTAGGAAAGTTCCTTTAGATTATTCACATATTTCTCTGAAAACAGACAGGTCTTAAAGAGGAAGAAACCACTGAATCTAATCTTTCACCCTTGTCCCCAGATAGATTTGCAATCATTTTGCAGAACTCTTCCTCTTTTTTTTTTTTTAAAACAAGATCTGTCCCAGCTACGAGTGACCAATTTCGCAAATTGCCAGGTAGATGTCTTCATCTGTGTTCCATGTTCTTATAAATTTAGAGACTTTGGCCTTCTTGCCTGTTTTGAGTACAATACATTTAGGCAGGACTGAAGTCAGGAAATAGAGCGGGTAGGCATGTCTAACACAACTGTTGACATAAACACACAAGGTTCATACATATTCCGCCCACATGAGCACACTTCCCTGTAAGGTGCGTACACACGTTTTGCCTGCAATGCACATAAAATGTGTGCACATGTCAGTATTTCTTGCAGGGGAGTGGCTGCTTATCACAGAGGCACATGGCGCTCATGAGGGGAAACAGCCCAGACTCATCAGTGACTAACCAGAGCATCCTGCATAGCCAAGGCAATGCAGGCAAAGTGCAATAAATGTCGCCAATATGGCATTAATGATCACATGGACATATTAAAATGGAGGCAAACTGAAATAAATTTGGGCAGTGTGGCAAGTGGGCATAACAACTTGCAATCATTTGTATTAATTAAAACATCGCAAAAACAGTTTTATTAGTGATGAGAGGCTGTGACAAAATTATCTTACAACACTGACGTTTACATTTGTGTTCAACGTACACATTTGTAACAGAGGGGTAAAAAAAAAATGCACAAAATATTTCTGCACACACCAAACTATTAAATATTAGGGGAACCATTGGGCATTAGTGCCAGGCTAAACTGCTGCCGGTAGAGCGGCCAACATGTTGATTGCATCTAAAGTATTTAAATGTATATGGATTGCACCAGGGGGGTAGAAAAAGAAAAAAAAACACACAAAAAAACTCACAAGGGCTCATTACATATTAAAGATGTTTGGACAATCCCGTCAAATGGATTAAAATAGAAAATAAATAAAAAATAAAAAAAAAACACACAACCTCTCTTTCTCCACCCCCTTCCCCTTATCCATCAGGTTAGATCTGAGACCAAGAGATAGTGCATAGTTTTGTGTTTTTATTACAATTATGGTCCCCAAAGAGATCAGTAATGCCAGGTACTATAGTGACCTATATAACCGAAAACAAAATGAGAATACATTTCAACCATCTCCAGAATACATAAAAGAATATCTAGACACGGTGCGTCTCCCAACACAAACCTGAACTTCCCAGACCTATCACGGAGGACGAAGGCCTAGCGACAATCAAACTACTGCCTACAGGCAAATCCCAAGGACCAGATGGTCTAGACAATGCATACTACAAACGATTTCATACTAGCACCCCAATTAGTTAAGACTTTCACGGAAGCTATCTCAAGGCAAGTCCTCCATAAAGGCTCTTTACTGGCACATATCGTACCACTGCCCAAGCCGGGCAAGCCACCTTTGATCGCCTCCATTGGAAGCTCCTGGTCATGGCAAACTTTGAGATACCGGAGGGATTTGGGTCCGTTGTTAATGCACTATGTAGTGCTCCCTCGGCACAGGTACTCACCGCTGAGTTCTTATCTGAGCTTTTTTTTTTAATTAAACAGAACCTGGCAGGGCTGCCCCCTCTCGCCCTTACTCTACTTCATGGCATTTAAACCATTGGCATCCAGAATACATAACACATCTATACATGGAGTGTCAGATATCGCGAATACAAAACAAATTTCTTCGCAGATGAAGTACTATTAACCCTGACTCAGTCCCTGATATCCCAGCCCAACCTATTCAAAAAAGTGACCAATTATGGAGGAAGCTCATTTTACAAACTTAACATGACAAAAACACAGGCCATGGGCATTCACATTGGTAAAGACACGCTTGACATACTCAAAGGAAATTTTACTATGGATTGGAGAGTAGTCTCATTCCTAGGACTCCATATAACAAAAAAAAACCCTGAACACCTATTTAAAGCTATGACAAAATTTATAAAGAGCTTGAGGCTACACTAACCACCTGTGTGGCAAGTATTTCTCGTGGCTAGGCAAACTTGCAGCGGTGAAAATTACTTTATTTCCCTGCCTGCAGTATTTATTTTGCATGCTGCAGAGCACGCTTTCATTGACTTACCTAGACAAAATCCAAAAACTAGTCGACCATTTTATCTGGGCACACAAAAGGGTGAGGGTTGCCACAAACTTCCTGCACAGACCAGTGGCAGAGCAAAGCCTTGCACTACCCAAAGTTAAGCTATACCACAGAGCGGCCCTGCTGGCATCGGTGGTGGAGATAAATTCTTCGCAGACCCCCACCCTCCCAATGGATCACTATAGAAAACTACTGGGCCCAAAGTCTGGAATTAAAGAGCGTACTATAGGTACCTAAACAAGTACGCCCTGAGCTACTGAACCTGCTCCCAGCTACAATAACACTCCTAACAACTTGGGATGCAGCCCGTGCTGTACTATGATTCACTCCAAATTGGTCGCAGGCTGCACCGATACTCATTACACATAGCCAACTAAATGTTTGGTCACCAAGCATGGGTAAAGGGAGGACGCACTCACGTGCGACACCTATTCCAGGGAACCACACTGCTACAATTTCCTGCCCTTGAGGAGAAATTTAACCTACCCTCCAGAGCAATATTCTCATACCTTCAACTCAAATCAATGCTAACATCCTGAAACACTAACCCTACAGAACCAACACAGAGATCAGAGTTTGAGACAGCGTGTCTAACACCAACCCTCCCAAGAAAGTTACTTTCCACGTGTTACAACCTCTTTAACAGCGGTGATAAGAAAGTGCTGGACAAATTTAGCTTAGCATGGCAAGCAGACTTCCACCACTCCTTTGACATATCGCAATGGTTGAACGCGTTCATTGCTCACACAAAAGAAGAACATCCTGCACCTTACACTTCGAATTGCTAAAGAAAATATCCTACAGATGGTATATGGTACCAGCTAGACTGGCCAAAATCTTCCCAGGCACGAGGGACACATGCTGGCGATGTAAAGCTGACAAAGGCATAATGTACCATATATGGTGGTCAACCATAGGACATTCTCTCGCAGGTCCTAAGAACCGAAATTACACTCACGCCTAGTCTAAGTCAACTGCTTTTAAACATTGATAAGTTTTCGAAATGGGAAGCAATTCTGGTATTTCACACACTAGTTGCAGCCTTGACACTAAAAGCACAGGCCTGGAAATCCGCAGAGGCACCTTCCAGACAGGCCTTAATGCAACAAATCTCTAATAACCTAGATTACGAGCATATGGCCAGATGACAACATAGAACAATATTTGGGAGAGCCAGAGAGACATGGACTGTCTATATACATACCATGGACCAATTAGCAGACTCACCATAACCCTCAACTGTCTCCCTATGGTCAAGCGACTGATCGACTTCTAACAGGGCAAACCATCTAACCGATTCATTCATACTCGCCAGAGGTAGCAGGCGATCAGAGGGTAGGACTGGGCCTCTTACAATTATATACAATTACGTATAATAGAAGCATGACGAAACAGCGGTGTATTAATTCTGAAGATCCCTGTACATACTAAGCTACTCTTTCCATGAAAATAGCTCAAAGGAAAAAGAAAAGTAGAGCCTCTAAGAGACTAAGTACTGGTAGATGGTATAGAAATTGGGGATAACCCTAAATAGTTGTTTAAAAAAAAAAAAAAACTACCAGTAGGTGTCTCCTAATGGGATGGTATTCTAGATCGTGGTTGTCACAATAGGGAGGAAATAAGACATAACTTTTAATGAGTATTACCAAAATCAATAAGGATACAAAAAAAAGGAAATTTAAAAACAAAGAGAGAATATTCAGTCCTATATACAATGTGTACTAGTGCTGAAACTGCACGAAAAAAACTCATCTAACAGCTAAACTAGCAGAGGGAGAGAATAGTATCAAAATGAGAAGGACTAAGTAATGAAAGTATCTATTTACACAAATCTATCCAGTACAGGAATGCAACTATTCTGTTCCACATTTTTTTGTTTTGATACCATCCCTACCTCTCCTCCACATTATGCTTTTTATCAGTAGTTATTTTTTTTCTTCTCTTTTTAGTATATTCTGCAGAAAGTCTTATGCTCCATATAGACCCCTCTTTTCAACGTTTACTTTCGTTTTATCACATTATCTAGTCTCATTTTTATTTAGTACTTCACCTCCTGATTTCATTTCATATGCGGCTAACAGAGTCAACACCATGTATCTGCATAGATTTAGATAAACACACACACACTCTCTCATTGCTTATAACCATTTTTTCCCCTTTGCAAAATGGCCAAGCCATTTCCAAAATAAATACATGTGAAGCCCTCTCGTCGCGTCATTTCCTGTATGACGATCCACCTCTTTTGAAATAGTCCAGACTATTATAGATACCCCTCTCATATTAGGTGAACATTTATACCATTCTACCGTGGACATTATTCATACCTACATGCCTAGTAATGCAGCGTCGCCATTATGGCTAATTATGTGTTCCATACTGAAACTTCAAATATCTCCATGACGGAACTCTGCCGCATCACTTCCGGTGTGACGCGTGTATTCCACGATGGCTACAGAAACAGGAAATTAGCACCACCAGGAAGTCATAGTAATAGTCATCCATCAACACCCTATAAGAACAGAATGCTATGAGGACCTCCACACACACTTCTGAAGAAGCCTTTTGAGTGGTGAAACGCCTAAAGTGGTACTCCTAGTATTTTCTATACGGTTTATACCACTTTATTTTTCGCTATATTAAAGTTTACATATTTTTTTATTGATCCACTACTTCCTGGTATCATCATATCCTTAGGTGGGGATTATACCATCCATGCTGAGTATACTAGAGCAAGTCCTGCTCTAGCAAATGTGAGTACAAGACTATACGGATTTATCAATCTGTAACGACTTCACCATTGGAGTTTTTCGGTTTGCATTTGCTTCAGAGAAGGTGCAATATGTTCTGCATATTGCACCTTATCTGAAGTACCTGTGGTGACCATACCAATTTATATCCTTAGACGAGGATTGTTCCGTCCATGCGCAAAACAGCAGAGCTCTGTATTAGTTCAAAAGAATGTGAGTGGTAGCGACACTTAATTACCTACCACTTATACGCTTTATCTATTGTATTGCACTATTTTTTTGCTCTGTTTCTTTTGAGGTCCATTGTATATTACATCGGGAGACCTATGTATGTACTACTGTTTGTATTCATATGTAGACACGTTTGCTCTGTCTTTTTACATCACCAGCCACATGTCTGCTCAGTATGGTGGTCAAGCCCCGCCCCTCCAGTCTTAAAACACTATAGCGTTAGAAGTACAACTCTGTATTCCTAATGCAATTGTGTTCTCTTTAGATTGGGGGCACCCCTAAAACTAAAAGATTTGGTAGGGTTACTTATGTTTTTCCAGTGGTGAGATCAAGTCCCTGCAACCACTTGATCTGCCTTTTGCAACATCACATCAATGCTTTTAAGTGTCACTAATCGAATGCTCCTCAGAGTTTGACTCACAGCAGAAGTGCCTGTTGGGTTGACAGCCATTCAAGGTATATTTAGCCCTGCAATGTAAGCACCATCTTCTCTACTAAAAAACAGCAACACTTTACATTGTAGGGTTAAAACTAAAGGACCACTTCCTTAAGATGAAAAGATCAGGGTGCCTTTAGTGGTCCTTCTACTTTATACCAAAGTCATTACTTGTGTTTCCCACAATTGTTATTTTATCTCCTGCTACCTTGTGTCTCAGTGTTATCCCTTCAGATTGTAAGCCCACAGAGCAACGTGTGTAGCACTATAAAAAGGTTAAATGCCCAGAAGGAGGGCTGTTTACTTATTTTCTACCAGTATTTCTAATTCCATATCCCAATGTCACACCAATAAAAAGCAAAAAAATATTCCATATTATGGGTTTATTGTACAATTTCACTTCTAAACGATTTTCTTTAAAAAAAATTATATGTTCAGAATTTTTTACAAAATGATCAACATCTTATTCTTACAGAGCATAAATTTACGGCTCGAATAAAGCCCGATTTTTTTAATTTTGTATGTCACCAGATTGTAAGCTGTTCAGAAATTCAATTCATGTTTACAGTATCCTACATAGAGCGGCTCTGCTGCTATTCCGCGTCTAGAGGTGAGAGAGGGAAAAAATAAATAAATAATTGGGTAGATCAGAAAAAAAAGAAGTTTAATCCTGGTGCATATAGTGTTTTGCTTCCTCCAGTCCAACAATAATTAACAGACAGGTTGCTTGGAAACCAGTGAATATTTAACATCCTTAGACATCTTTGTTTTAGAATTTTAATGTAATGTACCAGTTCATTAACACAAACTAGTGTAAAGATGTCAAATAAGTATTGACAAAGTATTTCAAATTTTACAGGAAGATTTATATTAAAGAGGCACGGTCAGACTGTACCTACCTTTTCCCAATCGCTTCCTCTTTCCTACTCTCTTTTTTTTCCCCATTTTCCAGCTATATCCAACTAAAAACATAAGATACAGTAGGGACTACTTTGTCTTATGTATTTTTCCTATGCTTAACTTTCTTTGACAGAAGGAGGAGTTTAAGTAAGCTCCACTTTCTGTGTCTCAGGAAGTTTTCCCTTAATACTTTTCTCCCATGTTGCCTACATTCACCCTTTCCAAATGTCCTGTAGTATAGACTTGCACACTGCAAATGATGAAATGACAGTTTGTCCATTTGTTTTTGGACTAAATTCGGCCAGAATTTATTCATTCATTTTATCTATTTTGGAATTTTATTTGGAAGAATTACATTTCGATTCGAGCCACGGCTGCATCTTGCATTCAATTCTCCCTCCTGCTCCTACTCACTGTGCCATCAGACAAACGGCTGAAATTTCTGGCCGAAATCTGGACAAAAGTGAATGCCCAAGTCTACAAGTGTGCATTAGCGGTGATTTTACAGCTAATGTGCACAGACGAAGGCCATGCATTCCACGTCATCCAGGAACACTACGATGGCGGTGGCTAGGACATAGATCCGAAGAACAAATGATGCAGGAAAACAAACCGGCAAGCCATCCTATGGATGCGGCCATAACAGTCCAGTCAGTTTAGAGGGTTTTATGTACATCTGGTAATCTTACAAAAAATGTTTGTTTTTTTAAATTCCAAAATGTTATGATTACCTGACCATTCGGCATCGGTGTTTAACAAGTCTGTTGTAAGCGTCTTGTACGTCTGTCACTTGTTTATCACTCCACAATCTTTCTGCAACGGCACTTGCACGGGGCCTACATGAAAACAAACACAGGAAAGTATGGCCCCTGCCTACTCCATTTAAAAACGTGATTGTAGAGTAGTATATGAACCAGTTTGCATTCTAACTTAGATTTTTGAATTAACATTTTAATCCAAGCCATTGTGGCAGCACTCTAGAATCTTTGGGGTTCCACAGGCAAAAGGTGGGAAATGTGTGTACATCCAAAGCCCAAATATATCTTATGCCAATAACCGTAAGCAAAACTATGGAGAATTGCAAGATACAAATGTAAAGATTGCAAATAAATCTACTTTTAAGCATTTCAAATGACATCTTTTCGTGTAGTGTCCAGAGTGTATATTTAAATTAGGAACTACTTCAGGACCACAAAATACAGTCTCCAAACATACCACAGTCTAGGAGTGAGGTTTGAGGCATCTACAAATTCACCCCACAAACAAGCTTCACCGCCAATCACCAGTTTCTTCTGTGCTTCACTTCCTGTAAAAGCAGATCAGATGCAATATTGGTCTACCAAAAAGGAACCCAATACCCATCCAGATATGACCAGGGCGAAAGAAAAGTATAGAATAGCAGAAGATGATCATGCAAAAAGCTGTAAGACTGCAACTTGTATACTAAAAATTCACCAAAACTGAAGATTGCAATTATTGGGCCAAAAATAGCCAAGCTGGAGGGGGAAGCACTGTTAGTCAGTCACAGCAAACAGCAGGTTAAAGAGCCAGTAGCAGAGAAACATGCATTACATCTCCAGTGTGAACCACACAGGAAACACTTTGAAACCTCCATGTTGTTTAACAAACCTCTGTATTTAACAATGAATCTATTCATTTTCTTTAGGAAATAAAAGTAAAGAATTTTTCAGATTGGAAGAAAGGAGATTTCATCCAAGGCAAATGAAAGTTTTTTTTGTTTTTTGGCAGTATGATCAATAAGGATGTGGAATGCTCTGCCTGATGAGGTGGTTTTATCAGAGTCTGTACAGATGTTTAAACAGCAACTGGATGAATATTTGCAGAAACAGAATATTCAGGGATAGAATGGTTTTAATTTGTAGGGTAATAGCTTCTTGATCCCAGGAGAGATCTGACTGCCATTCTGGCATCAAGAAGGATTTTTTTTTTTTACCTAGTTTGTTGCAAGATTGGAAAGCTGTTCAAACTGTTTTTTTGGCCATCTTTTGGATCAACAGCAAAAACAGGTGTGAGAAAGGCCTGAACTTGGACGCATTGTTAGAGTGTAAATTTTCAAAGAGGAGTATACAGGCATACTCCGCTTTACATACACTCACTTTAAGAGACATACCCGCGAGTGTACGTAAAGGTGCCGCGCGAGTACAGACCTTTCCACACCTCTTCTGTCAGTGAGTGAACAGGAAATGGAAGGTTCTTGCCCAGAGCAGCTCAGTTCAGAGTCTTTGGGGCAAGAGCTTTTCACACCTGACTATTGCAATGCCGTACATGCATTGGGAAGTGAAGAAAGGTATTGCTTCACTCTAAGTACATTTTCGTTTTACATACATGCTCGGGTCCCATTGTGTACTTAAAAGTGGGGTATGCCTGTACAGCAGTTCCTTCCACTCCATGCACAGTTCTCACAGAGAAGGAAATACTACATTTTAAAGTAAAGATTACAGCGTGCATGCTAACAGCATCTCTGGAGCAGTTTCTGGAAGTAAAGCCATAATCATGCAGAGAATGGTTATATCTTGGTCTATTAGGGAGATACATGGATGGATAAAACAGTACAGAATAGGTAAGGCAGTGTGTCAAAACTCATGAACCACTAAAAATCCCAGTAAGAAGATTAATATACCTGGCACAGCCTGCAAGCATATACTGCAGGTAGCCATGCACAATAAGTGCAACAAGATGCTCGCATGCATGCAAAGTTACTCAGGATTTCTGACAGGATACCAGCCTTGTCTGGGGACTCAAGCACAAGATCTCACAGAGGGCTTAAACATGACTAAATTTGTCAAAGAGCTGCAGAGTGTCATTCTCTTAATAAGCACCCCTTTATTTCAGTGGGAGACAAGTTGTATGTGCAGTGCTTCCCAAAATGAAAGAAGGAAACCGTTTGCACACACGTGAATGGAAGCACCTGCCATGTATGTAGCAGAGTAATGCTGCAATTTTAATCAAACCCGTACACATGCATTGAGAATGGTGCATGAGTGACCAGCAGGTAACTACAGCTCTTTGCAGATCCAACGAGAACACAGGCTAAGATGGGAGACTGAAGGATGGAGGGAGGGATGCACAGATACTGAAAGGGAAAGAAATGGAAATGGTCAAAAAATAAATAAAAATAGAACTCTTCAAATGCCACCACAATGGAGGAAGAGAAACAGCCCACGAGTGGGGGAAGGAATAATGTGTATATCAAAGATGTAATAGAAAATAAATTGTACCATCTGCAAACTAAAATGCAGCTTAGTGTTATTAATCAAATGTTCCTATGCAGGAGCACATCCAGGGTCAGATTAACATAGGGCTATTGGAGCTGCAGCTCCAGGCCTATGCTTTAATATGGAGTCGCCCATCCCATGTGTTCCCCTATTAAGGGTTAATAATATATAGGGGTGTATATAAAAATACCTGACTCATTATAGATTTTTGCCAGAGGCTCAAGGAAGAAAGGTGAATGGTTAGCGTTAGGACCCACCTTGGGGGTATGCCTTGATGTTGGCAGGTGGGCTCATCCTCTCATGGCCATTGAAGGGAACACAAAAACCTTCATTTGTTTAAAAATATATAGGTATTAAGGAGCGAGCGCAGGTAACTTTTTTTTCTTTGTTCTTCTACGATATATTGGGGCTGATGTGTACTGTAGTCATTGCTGACGGCCCAGTGATGGTAGTGAGCGCAGGACTTATCTTTCTGCTTTAATATGGAGTCTGTTGGCACCAATTTCAAAGGTCCAAAGGAAACATTTTCTTGTTTTTTTTTTATTAATCATGAAATAAAATTGGAGCATCCCTCTAGTGACAGCATCATATTAATGTATTTTTATGAATGGTTTCCAGTCTGCACTATGCATTGAGGTGTGCCAAAGCCAGATGTTGTGTAGACTAGCAGTAGGTTGGCCACGTGCATAAATGCTATGACAATGGAAAACCTGCTTTTCCTGTTAAGCTCCAGACCCATGCAGCCCAGAACCCACCACTGGATATCTACTAAACAGTACTTTCATAGCCAAGTCATGTGAGGGAATCAGGCTAGGAACGTGTCATTTATGGGAAGTAGGTCTGCACAGGCAATGTGATGTTCAACACTAACCTGTGTTTGTCGTTCGTATAGAGATTATATATATTTATTGTTCACCCCCCAAAGTCATTCTGCTCTATTTGCACAGCACTATATTTTGTGTGGCCTATGGGGAGGGGCCAACAATACATTCAGGTGATCTAGAAACGGCTTTGATTGTAAAACGGAAACAATATGCCGCAAGTATGGTCACACCTCTGCACTGGCCCAATTTAAAGGGATACTATAGTCACCAAAACAACTTTAGCTTAATTATGTAGTTTTTGTGTACAGATCATGCCCCTGCAGAGTTCTCTGCAATTTAGGAGTTAAATCACTTTGGTTTATGCAGCCCTAGTCACACCTCCCTGTATGCAAGTGTAAAGCCTTCCTAAACACTTCCTGTGAAGTGAAATCTAATGTTTATCCTTCATTTATTGCAAATTTTTTAATTTAGAATTTATCTTCTGCACTGTTAATCGCTTGCTAGATCCTGCAGGAGCCTACTGTGTGTGATTAAAGTTCAATTTACAGAGCAAAAATTCTAAAGTAAGTTAACATCTGATTGAAAATGAAACCATTTTGTTTTCATGCATGCTGTGTGGCTAGGGCTGCATAAACAGAAACAATGGGTATTTAACTCCTTAATAGCGGTGAATTGAGCACGTAGACTGCAGGGGCATGATTATATAAAATGACAGGAAAGGTGGAACAAGGCGACTTATGCATTTTTTTTTTTTTTTTTAAGCCCTGTCCTCATCTCCCATTACCTGTGGGCATTTTTGTTACTAGATTAAATAAATAATAAATTACAAAAAAAAAAAACCCCAAAAAAAAAAAACCACACACACCCTTAAAGTTTGATGGCTCAATTTTGTAGATCTGGATCCAATCCTGACCGTACGAAATGCGGTTTAAGTACCAGGGAGAAGAAAGAAGAGCTTGAAAGCCAGCAGCTGTTACAGCTGCCATCTCATCTTGATACTTCTCCATCTTCCAAACTTCAACAACAGTGTCTGGATTCAGCTACGGAATTAAGCATACCTTTTATTTAATGGGCAAAATTACACGGTGTCCTGCAAAAGGAAAGTATGTTACTGTAAAAGCAGGACAAACCGGTGTACTCTTTACAGTATGTTCAGAACCCAAAACAAAAATCTAGAATGGTTTTACTTATTCACTGATCTGGACCCCAAACTGATCTTGCAATCTTACTGAGCTCCTGGTGATTGGAACAGGTATGTCATGTTTGCCATGCCAATCAGACATCAGGAAGCTGAATTTACTTAGAGATTAAACTACAAATAGAAGAATCATTAGTGGAGTGTTTACCATATGCATAACGGTTAAAGTGCTTAGGCTGGCCCTTTATACGGTATTATTGTACCCGGAGCTCAGGCAATTCTGAGAGTGGGAAACTGCGGCAGTCATTGTTTTGGTACATAGGTGTTAAACAAGGGACGGTCAGAACTGACAAAAATTGTGTCCAGTTATTTTTAAGCTGAAAATGTAAGTAGTGTCATTCATATTGAAAGCTATACAGACCTGACACTAAAAAGCAAGATGATTCCACTGGAGATGTTATGCAAGCATTAGAGGATGAAGGTTATGAAGGTGTAAAAAGACATGCGTTACTTATTTCATTAATAGTAAAAGTTAACAAACCATCAAACATTAGCGGCTCAGCAACATAGTATTTCTGCCAGTCCTGCCCATAACTAATGTAATCTAGGTACCATGGAGCGGAGAGGATAGCTTGAAACCCTTTCGCTGTCACTTTGTACAGTTCTTCAAAACATGATTCCCCTTTCCATACTTCCACTATTGTGTCTGGGTTAATCTGTAAGAATTGCAATAGAGGAGTGAACATGAATCCGGTCACGTTCTGTTAAAAGCCAGTCGCGTAATGGAGTATTAGAGTGGGTTACATGCCATACATTAGAGGTGTAGAAGAGCACAAATAATTAAAAATTGACTGCTTATGGTTTTAGAGCTGCAAGTAGGGGTTCCCAAATAAGTAAAAATATATACCTATAGCATCGTTCCGCTCATGCTACAGTCAGTAATGCCCCAACATATATCGGCCATTTAAAGATGGTGGCTAGTGGAAGATGTGTCATTTGCAAGCTGTCTTTGACCATTATAGCTCTTCCTTTTACGCATAATGCAAAGAGCAAGGGATAGTTTCTTCTTCATTCCAACCCTTTTCACATATAACAGGAAACCAGGATCGAAGTCAGTGGACAAAAAGCATGGCATAGAAACATAGAATGTGACGGCAGATAAGAACCATTCGGCCCATCTAGTCTGCCCAAATTTCTAAATACTTTCATTAGTCCCTGGCCTTATCTTATAGTTAGGATAACCTTATGCCTGTCCCACGCATGCTTAAACTCCTTTACTGTGTTAATAACAAAGTATTTAACCAGGAAAGGCACATTCAGATTACTGTGATTTTCAAGTACGTTCTGGGGATGTTACCTTAGCCCAACATACAGGGGTTGTTACTATTACCCAATTTAATGGTACTCATTTTATCTACCTCGGAAGGATGAAGGGCTGAGTCAACTCTGCTGGGATTCAAACCTGCGACCCAAAGGTTGAACAGATTCTACTGATGATGCATTAGCCAACTAAGCTATCTCACCGGCATGGCGTGTCAGAAACTCTGCTTTAGCAAGAATAAAAACCCACTCAATTTTTAAGGGCAGTAAAAAGTAAAAAAAAAAAGCCAGTTGCATACTTGTCATACATTTAAAAGTTTTCTGAAAAATTCACTTTCGCAGCACTAGTGTCTAAGCCTATATAGAGAGGATATCCATAAGAAGGTATGTACGTACCTTAACATTGTTATCAAATACCTCTTGCCAGACCATATAACCCTTGCTGTATGATGTAATTATACGCAAGAGTCTAAATAAGAGGGAGGAGAAAAAAAAATGTAAATTAAAAAAAGTGTGTATTACATTAAGAACATACCAGAGGAAACCTAAGCCTAAATTCAGTTTATTTTATAGCGATCATGTTGAGATTTGGAGGCGCTGTGAAAACCCTACTTCTGATCAGAGGATTCTACCCAGTCCGGTTCAGGAAGCGGTTACCAAATTCCTGTTCTAATGTGCATGCAGACTGATTTAGTTCCTTTATATCAAGATGAATATGACTGCAAATTCAGCATTTGGTAAGGCAATGGGACCACTCAACAGCAGATCTTCTCATTAATATCCTTATAGTAAGTGTGTCCCTTATGTAACTATTGCTATAAGAACTCACAACTTAAAGTGAAAGGATAAACTATTGACTAAAGTAAAGAAATTAGGATCCTTTAACCCAGTGGTAGTCAACCTTTTTCTACCTACCGCCCGCTAATGCATCTTTTTGGTTGAAAAAAAAAAAAAATCTCCTTACCGCCCACCAGTTTTCGCGCAAGTGCAGAATCTTTTTTAGAAAGGAGGGGGTTTTAAAAAAATAAATGTACGTACATTTATCTTTTTATTTCTACTTAATGCATGTTTATAATGTTTTTAACTTTATAAAGTTTAATGAGAAAACAATAAAGTAAATTGAAATTACCTTTACTAGTGATTAATGAGATCCTTGAGGTTGATGCTGCAAGACTAATTATTTTATATGGTTCGATTTTTGTAAGGAACAAACGAAGGTCTCCTTTTTCGGTGATATTCAGATGACTTCTCTGTTTGCGCATAATATGATTTCTCATCTGTGCGTCAGCTCCCCTCCTCAATATCCCTACCCCCCTTTTTTAACCTTACTTATAGCAGTGCCCAGTAGGAAGGCTGAGCTAGGAATCCCACTTACTATAGCCCATTATAACAGACAGGCACACATACATACAGACACACACACAAGACATACTTACAAAGACACATACACATTATATTTAAGTCACCCTCCTGTTTCCTACCTTTAAGGTGCAGGAGGGTGACTTTCCCTGGGATCCAGTGGTGGCTCAGGTAGATGGGAGTCAGAGTTCCTGGGAGCTGGGAGGAGTGACATGCAGTCACTTCCTCCCAGCGTGTGATGTAATCACAGGGGACCCGGTCACGCTGTTAAAGCGCCCAGTGCTGACTGGGCCCCATTACAATCCACATCTATTGGGTGGCCCTGACAGCATGGGCCACCTGATGAACCCCCCCGCATGTGCGGCCCGGCGGTTTGCCACGCGGGCCAGGACCGCAAGTGGTGATGGCGGTACCCAGTCGCAGGGGTACCGTTGGCTCGCACCCGCCTGCCCAATCTGTCAAAATTAGAAAATCCCTACCGCCCACCTGGAATCCTGAAACGCCCACTAGTGGGCAGTAGGGACCAGGTTGACGACCCATGCTTTAACCTTTCCTGGTACGTATAGAAACATAGAATGTGAAAGCAGATAAGAATCATACGGCCCATCTAGTCTGCCCAATTTTCTAAATACTCTCAACTTACAGTTGAATATAATAGGACTCCAACTTTGTGTAGTCTGTGCCAAAACCATGGTCAGCCATAAACTTGCAAACATCAGGATTAGATTTCCTGCAAAAATAATAATAGCCGTTTAGATCAGGAAAGCAAAAGGTTTATTACAATATTTTCATCTGATGCAAGATGTGTTTAGCAAGTATAAGACAGGTTTTATATTGGTATATCAGCGTGTATACTGAACCATAAGGATATAACCGGAATTATTTAAAGAGGAACGGTTGTAGTAGAAAATGGTCAACTAATAGTTGGGTAGGATGTGTGTTATGTAGCTTTCAAAAACTGCGTTAGATTTAATTTACATATGTGGACTGACTTTTGCATGAATAAAAATTAACTATTACCGTACCACAGGTGAGTGTAAAGCACTACTAAAGGGATGCCTACGCCTGCATGCACTCTTTGAGCATTTCTCTGTCGATGCCATGGCATCATGGGGCAGTGAAATCAAGCCTTATGGGATGTTACTTTAAAAAAAAAAAGGGTATATTTCCTCTGCTGCGTTATTCACTACAATAGCATTTACTGGGCTGATGAGGAGTACCACTTTAAAAATCTTTTAGAACTTACCAGCAAGAGAAGTCTACTTCATCTCCTCCTAAATGGATGTATTTATCAGGAAACACTTTGGAGATTTCTTTAAAGAACTGGGACATAAAGTTGTAGGTGTCATTTAAAATGGGATTTACAGGTCCATATGTTCCTGAAAGTTCTTCTCCTTTAAAACATGGGGTCAAAAGGCCTGGTTGCCCTGGGGGAGGGATAAAAGGAATCATTCCCTTGTAACAAATACATATGCTTATACCTGACTCATCCATTGCACAGATGACTGGCAACATGAGCATTAATATAAGGCCCACACATTCCTTGTCTATATAAAGCAGTTACCAGACAGCCAGCAAGCAAAAAAAAAAAAATAAATAAAAAAAATGTAATATTGAATGGAAACCATACCTGCACCCCATGACTCAGTGTGTCCAGGTGAATCAAATTCTGGAACAACTCTAATTCCTCGTAGGCGAGCATATTCAATCACCAGTCGGACATCAGTGAAGGTATAAATATGGGTAAACGGATTATAAGCTCCCTAGGAACAACATTTATAAAATTTGCGTGAAGAATTAAAGCTACAGATTAATAAACCCAACACACCATGCTACAAGCTTGTATTCAGGGGATTATATTAGAAGATATGCCATCATGAGCCTCCTATTACATACAGAAATCTAAATAAAATTATAAAAACATCACAGTGTTGATTTTGGATGGCACAGACTACAAAGATTTTCACCTTTTTACTCAAGTCAGGAAAAGTAATACTCTCATAAGGAAAAGACTGGTCGTCGACAATATGCCAGTGGAAAACGTTCATCTTGTTAAAGGCCATGGCATCCTGTGGCAAGAAGAGAAATAAGTTACATGAACACACACTATGATCAGTCTGCAATTTACTCAGACACATGTATCAAATAATGTACGGACTATGGGTGACAATGCCAATAACAGTGTGACAAAACATGTTTATAGTATATGGCTATAAATCACTATAAAATGGCTGCAATAGCTATACATCACTCAAAGGATCAGTGTAAGAATGTCAAGCACTTTGCATTGCTCTAATAAAAATGGCTAATATATACTATTATATGTATTCTCTATATAATGCATTGAGAGTGGGGGAGGGCGGATTTAAGAGACAACACATTTCATTTTTGGTTTCTTAAGATGGTATCCAGAACCCCCTCTTAAAGCCATTGCTTTCCTACTATGCACGCTTTGACCCAAGGAGAGACCAGACTGCCATTCTGGGGTCAAAAATGATTTCCCCCCTAGTTTGTTGTAAAAATAGAAGCGCTTCAAACTGGGTTTTTGTTTTTTTTTGGATCAACAGCAAAAACAGATGTGAGGAAGACTGAACTTGATGGACGGCCTATGTAAGAAATATTCACACTCACAATTTACATATTTATCAGTGCCTTAGCAATCTAAATGGAAGGTTTTTACAGATCTCATGCAACATTCAAGTTTTTTTTTCCCCCACTATAACAAAAGTATATGCCAAGTAGCACTTGAACAGAGCAAATGGTGTTGGTGATATAGAAGGAAGTGCTAAGCCTTCAAAGTGGAGAACTCAATAAAGTGAATGGGACCCTCACATATATCGCTTCATTTTTAAAGTTTGTGACATCCCCCACCCCCAAATTCTACGAGATACAGATTTAGATAACTCCCAATAGTTACTTCTGAACAGCGCGTTAACCTGCATTGTGCTACAAATGAAATCAAAGCAAGGAGCTGGCAAACACCAGCTGTATGCTTGCTAAGTCTGACTAAACGCACATCAGGGCTTGGCTCCATTCCCTGCTTTGGCAATATGAGGACACCACTGCGATTATTAGTCATAGAAATGGATTCCATGGCCATTTTTGGTGTAGATGTCCATTTTTACATTCAGATTCAGCACTCCTGTTTCTAAGCTTTGGTAACCCTCGAAGGCACACAGCGTTTAGTCGTTACAGATCAGTTTTTTGGAAGATAGAATATTTGGTTTATATTTAAGTTTATTTTTTTTGAGGACCATTACATCAGAGTTACATAGCTTAAAAGAGACTTGCGTCCATCAAGTTCAGCCTTCCTCACATTTGTTTTTTTTGCTGTTGATCCAAAAGAAGGCAACCCCCCAAAAACCACACAAACACACACAGTTTGAAGCACAATTTTGCAACAAGCTAGGAAAAAAATTCCTTCTTGACCCCAGAATGGCAGTCAGATTTAAAAACAAAAAAAACGTATTTACGGTGTTTTGTAGCTGTAACGATTTGTTTTTTTTAATTTAATATAGTAATAAAAGTTATGCTTTAAGTTTATTTGTTAAGAAAGTGTTATGACCACCTCTTTTTTTGAGAGGCAAAAAAGTTAGAAACATCGGATGGAGCAAAGCCGAAACATCAAAAGGTCTTCCTTTACTAGCATGCAGGAAGAGCATTTCAAAGATTCAGGGTTACTTGCTGAATTGAAAGAAGTCTGATGTATTTCCAGTTTAGCCATTTTGACGTTAGATTTGTATCCTTAAATTGAAAAATAAAGTGACTAACCCAAGCGCCATTTTTAAATCAATGCTCAGTATTTGTCTGGAGTATCCCAGTGAATACCTATTGCAGATATCCCATCACAAAGATCTGTTATAACTACAGTCAGAAAACATTTCATGAGACACTGCCAACAATCTTGTATTAACTCACCAAGTTTAACAGGATGGTCTTCAATGGAAGATAGTGCCTGGATGTATCCAGCAGAATCCCTCTGTGTGCAAACCGCGGTGTATCAGATATTTGGGTATAATTTATGCGAAACTGCAAAGGAAAGGGTGGAAGAGGCATGGGAATTGCACACAGGTGTGGAAAAACTCAGTCTTTTGTACTTCCACATTGTTTCCAGGTGTATATCACGCATTACGTTAACACTGGAGCACACTTGGTGTGCATTGTAAAGGCCATGTTACACCTACGTTACCAAGTCTCAACGTAAAATATATCAGACACCAGCAATATGCCTGTAAGGCAAGTGTATCATACAATGCGTCTGATGAGGTATAAAACTTCATCCTAACACAAAAAAAAAAAAAAACAATTCAGACTGGCTCTTCTCTTTAGGCTGTGTCATGGTAGCACTACAATGAATACAATGCCTTCCCCTTCGAATTTGCCAGGAACACAATTACATTGAATTGATATATATCTAGAAGCCAAGCCATAGATTCCAGATAAAGGGAGGAAGCATACAGGAGGCAAAATAAAATGACGGCAAATTTAATAGGTTTTCAGTTTTGCTAGCCTTGACCATAGCAGCACTTCACCATAAGCCTTCCTCCTTAATGCATTGCACAAAGACACTTCCTTATCAAACACATGTAGACAACTCAGCTCCTAACGGCACAGAGTGGTTTTAAATTCACAATCTGGCTGCAGACAGGGAAACTAAACACAGATACATTTGAAATTCACTTTCTCACGTTGGTATATAACCCTGTATGTTCATAACAGCCAAACAGAATCCTCTCTCAGACATGGCTTCCATTTCCATGCCAAACACTAGGCCTATGGTGAAGGATGGAGCGTGAATACTACACTTATCTTTATACTTCTAACCATACCAACAAAACAGAATAAACAGCAAGATGGGAATTACACCATAACACTACCGGGTAACAATATAAGCAGTATACAGTATAATAAAACCAATACCAACCTGCAGTCAAAGGAGAGAAAACCTGTACTGCCCAACTTCACAAAAGACACCCAAGATTGTGTTAGGACCCCCAAGAGAGTTCCCTCAAACTGCTGAAATTGCAGCCCTCAAAAGTATGTCCTCCCCAGAACCGCATTACTGCACAGTTTTTGTTTGTTTAAAAAAAAAAAAAAAAAGTCTACCTACCGCAAGGACAAGACATTGGGGCGAGATAATTAAGAACTAGCACTTTCAGAGTCAAAATCCAGTTTGTTTTTTGTGTTTTAGAGTAGTGAACACCATTTGGTTGCTTATGAAACACTTACCAAACCAATGTCATCTTGTTCAACCAACTGACTGAAAGTCTCTAGACCTGTTAAGTTTAGAGAGAAACAAATAACACGGCTTTCATTTTATTTTTAAATTACATTTTATGCTTTAGTTGATTACATAAATCTAGACTTACAAAAAATTCAAAAAGGTAAGTTTGGACACAGGTGGAATAAGCAAAAAGACAAAGGAAAGGTTTATCATATATAGTAAAGTAAAAAAGTGCACATCTTATAGAGGTATAATTTAAAGACTAAACGTGACCATGTCCTTGCTGATGTTTTGTATAGGGCAAGTTATATTCTGCTTTTAGTAAGTTAAGACATGCACATACCCATTTTTGTTAGTTCTATAAATATGCTGTTGACATTTGAGTTTGTCTAGATAGAACAAAGTCAAAAGGCAACCTTGGCACAGGACCTCAAATTTCTACAGGGGCATATTAGTTGCATAAGTTGTATCTATTCATAAGCAACAGGTAAGTATACAGGCGTATACTCACACAGCGATGACAGTCTGCCGCACTGTACAGTGGAGAAATAAAGCAAGTTGGTAATTGTAAAAGGGACACTGCGCTAAACTGGAATGGCTTAGAAAGGACAAAAAAAAACAACAAAAAACCACAAAAAAAAACAAAACAAAAAAACACAGGCATGATAGATCACTGCGAAGGAAGGATCTACTCTTAAATAAGAAGAGTAAACAACATTACCTCTCAGAGCACCCCACACTTGACTGGCTTGAAGAACTGCAGCACTGCCATTAACATTTAATTTATCTAAAGAAAAACAAAATCAATTATGAATATTCAATTATAGGAAGCACCAAGTATTTATTTCAGAAAGAAAAAAAAAAAAAATACCAGCTGTCAGGTTATGGAATATATGGTGTATACCATCTCTGGAGCGTAAAATAATCAGATGTTAAAATAGATTAGATGGAATGACTGCAAATAACACAATGAATAATGCAATGTATTCTGAATCTGTACAGAATACACATTGAAGCCTCCAGACTAGAAACGCTGACTGTATATCCACAGCTCCAGAACAAAAGTCATGCTCAGTGCAGCGTATGGTCAGTATTTGTATTTTTTATCCGAAGAGGCAGCGTGAACGTAAAGGGACTTTATAGTCACCAAGACAACTTTAGCTTAATGAAGCAGTTTTGGTGTATAGGTAATGTCTCAGAAATCTCACTTCTCAATTTTCTGCCATTTAGGAGTTAAATCACTTGTTTCTCTTTATGCAGCCCTAGCCACACCATTCCTGGCTGTGACTGACACAGCCTGCATGAAAGCAAAACTATAATTTTCAACCTAAAATTTGTCTCCTGCTCTGTTAATTGAACTTTAAATACACACAGTAAGCCCCTGTAGGGCCTAGCAAGCTATTAACAGTGCAAGAGAAGAAATTATAAAATATTTGCAATAAAGAAAGTATACATTTTAGATGACTCATTAAAGGAAGTGTTTAGGCAGAGAATTGAGCAACGCGACTTCAGAAGCATGATCTTTTAGTGGAATGGAGTACCCAAATATACTTTTATTCCCTTCATTTGGCTGTCCGTATATCCCCGTTCATTTACCGAACCCCCTTACTGTGTGGCCCCTTGTTTGCACTTTTTTTTTTTTTTGCATTTTGCCATATCAACAAATTGACACATGTGGAGTACAACAGGGATTAATTACAGACATCGGTATACATCATATTCGGTCCTGTTACATAATGCTTGTCTCATTCCTTGCTAACTTGTTGATTGTTTAACAGTTTAACCAAGGTGGGGTGTAAATAAGGGTAGAGAGGGAGAATAGGGGGGGGGGGGTCCAGGAGAAGCGGTAGTGTTCTCTAGAGGTCATTTAATTTCCTGTATAATTGCAGTTACCTTATATAGTTGCTCTGTGTATGTGCAATATCCTGATACCTTTCTTAGGTACATTGCATGGGTGCATACGTTTCTTATTACGTGGTCTATTGAACAGGTTTTCCCCATTTGGATGGTCTCAGCTGTCGGAGTGGTTTATGTGTCTCGTACTTAAAGAGTGAATCTGTATTGGCCCCATCTCTACGTACTTGCTATGTGCTGCTCCCATAGCTCCCAGGCTGCCACTATAAATGGTTTTGGTGCCGTATTTTCCCGCGCCATTAGTTCGTATTGTTTTGTTAGCTGTAATGCTGTTGTGCATTGAGCCATTTTCGGTGGGTTTGGGTCGCGCCAATGTCTACTAATAGTTTGGAGGGCTGCTACTATGATATGGTATATGAGATATGTGTGGGTTCTACATAGGCCTTTTGGAAATAATTGTAATAAGTATATTTCGGGGGATTGCTGGAGGTTGATCCCCGTGGTCTCCCTTATCGTGGTTGTGATGTCTAGCCAGAATTGCTTCAATTTCGGGCACGACCACCAGATATGTAGCATAGATCCCTTGTCGCTTAGGCAGCGCCAGCATGTGTCTGGTATGTTTGGATTGCCTTTCTTAAGGCGCACTGGTACCATCTGTACAAAATTTTCTGTGTGATTTCCATATGGGAGGCACACAGTGAGAGGTTCTTATGTGCCCGGAAGATGTGGGCCCATTGGCTCTCCGTTATGTGGTTCGGTATTTCTCGATCCCATGCTTTTGTGAATGTATGGACTGGTGTTGCTGCTGTGGTGTTGTATATTGCATAGACCTTGTTTGCACCTTTTAATCACCGACCATCCCTGACTGTTAACCACAAATTGGTTATTATTTGAAGTGTTTTCTATCATTTTTTTTTTTTTTTTTTTTTAAATAAGTCATAAATAACACTAACACTGTACCCAAAGCAAACAAAGGTTTCTTAAATTTGTGTATATCTCCAAATTCAACGAAGACACCTGTAGCCAAATACACTTATTCTGCAACTACAGGCAGTAAGCTACCTACCATTTTGGGCCAAAGACTGCCCTGTCAGTAATTCAGCCTTGATACAAGATAAGACAAATAAGACATAAACAACTGATAGATTATTTGTCCCCTAACGGTATTCCATGACGAGTTCAGCTAAATAAATGATAAATTCCAGCTATGGATTTATAGAACGCAGAGTGGTGATTATTATAAATATAAGTGGATTGCAGGTACAAACATACAGACTGAAAAGTGCAGTGTATTGGTAATACCTACATGATTCATCCGAACTGATGCTTGGATATTTATGGCAGTCGTTGTCTCGAGAGGTAATTATAACCTGAAGTTGAAGTAGTTCTCCCAACTCTTTGTTAATGGGAACATTCTTCCGCTTTGAATATCCAAATATATACTCATAATACCTAGTACAATGAAAAAAACAAAACAAATCCAACCATAAGTGCAAGATGTAAACCCTGACCAGCCACCAGAACCCCATAACTCACCAAGTTTCTGTACCTGAAGTAATCCATTAAAAAAAACTTAAAATTGTGTGCTTAGAGATTACTAGATTTTTTAAGAACTAAAAGATAGGGGGGGGCGTCTACTTTTTGGGAACTCCTACTTCAGGGGTAAGCAACCTCCAGAACTACAGATGTTGCAGACCACATCGCCCATAATGCTTTTCCAGCAATGTGGCTGTAAGTGCATCAGGTGAGATGTAGTCCATAAATAAGAGAGTGTCATAGGTTGCCTACCCCTAGACTAATGTATACAGTTGCATGCTCAACATAGAACATTTTATGGTTGGTGAAACATAGAAACATAGAATGTGACGGCAGATAAGAACCAGTCGGCCCATCTAGTCTGCCCAAATTTCTAAATACTTTCATTAGTCCCTAGCCTTATCTTATAGTTAGGATAGCCTTATGCCTTTCCCACGCATGCTTAAACTCCTTTACTGTGTTACATATGATTAAATTGTTGTCATTGCGGTTAGCTTGTTTATTTTACACAGAACTTAAAGACAGAGTGAAAATGGTCTTATTTCTCTGGAATTTGTTTTCACGGATATCTGCACTGGACCTTGCAAGCCACTATCTGTACAGGTACATTTATTAAGCCGAGATAACCGTGGGACAGTTACGTCATTGGGCTTGGAATCTTCATAGTGGCACTAGGCAGTCAATTAGAGTTAAGCATTAATTTAATATGATATGCATGTAGACTCGCTGAGGGATTAATAGGATATTTATCTTTTGAGCCCAGTATTTTCTTTTGACTCCACTTTAACCTTTGTATCTGAGATTGTGTATTCAGGTAATATGAGAGAGAGGTTAATCTACAGTGAAACTTGCCGATCAAGTGGGCTATGATTTTTATGATAGCAAATGAAATAGATTAAAGGATATGCTACATAAACACTGCTTCTTCCTCATCCACAATTAGTGCCCTAAAAGGATGCACAGGGCATCCTACTACTGGATGTGGAATACCATCACGTCACTAGTGTAACATACTCCCGCATCGTGCGGTCTCTGCAACCAGCGGCTGTGCGTCTGCGTGACTGACACTTGGAGCATGCTGCGGATCCACGGTAAAATATACCCCCACGTCCTTGACGTCGGTATGCACATGACGTCACGCAGGAGCACGTTTTGGAGTCAAAGATCGATCTCGACCAATCAGAAAGGAAAAACGTGAATTTAAACTCAAAATTACCTTTCCTCAATGCCCTGTCATGGATTCCCTAGTGGTTGTCCAAGAGTGCGTTCCTGAACAGTTATATTCTGTTTTTTTACTTTGGCTTTGTTTTTGACTTCCCTGTATTCTGGTATCCCCGACTTCTGGCTTTCCTTTATCGTTGTGTCCCTTTCTGTGTCCCCTGACCTCGGCTAGTATCTTGACTAATCTCTAGTACGTTAGCCCGGCCATTCTAAGGCACGGTAATATGTTACCCATTAGTCATCTGTGTGACAATTCTACGTGCTGGATCAAGTAGTAATCCTGACAACTAGGAAGAGATGAGATTGCACACTAGCTATTCCTGTTCTCCATTTTAAAGAGGAGATGTTCCTTCAAGAGAAGTGGTAGTCCCTCGTTCCTTCGCCCGAGCTCACTTACCTTTGTTACCATTCTCCCCGTTAGGGGCTCTACTGCCCTCTGATGCCATTTGTATGTAAGTTCAGGTATCTAACATAGAAGGTCCATGCAGATAGGAACACTCTAAAAAGATAGTGTGCAAAGTCCAGGAGTTGGCTAGTGGCGGCTTAAATATATTAAGTGAAAAATCGTATGAGATGAATTAAAATGAAGTGGGAGAATCAATTAAAAAAAAAAAAAAAAAATTATATTGTAAAAATGAAAAATAATTATGATAAAAATAATTACTGTGCCTTTAATTGCAGTGAGGGATAGTGGATAAAAAGTGAATGAGAAAAAAAAAAATGAATGAAAAAAAAAATAGATAGAACCAGAGAGAGGGAAAAGAGAGAATATTGAAGGTAGTAGAAAATAAGAAAAGAAAGAATAAAAACCAAAAATAAAATGAAATAAATTACTAGATCGGGATGCAGCCAATATATGTACAGAGCAAGTATCTCTATCCATAATGAAATGTAGGGTAGATGGTGCCTGCTCCAAATATTATACTTTGAAATGTCAAAGATAAATGTATCTATGTATATTGGCAACACAGTATGTGGAACTCTGTATCTCTATAGACTGATGCAATATAAAAACGGGATATGGATAACAAAAAGAGATAATTTAACAAAATATAAAAAAGTAAAAAGTGCAAAAATACAGATCAGAGATAGTTCATTTATATTGCTTCGCTGCACACGCGCATATACTTCATAGGGCGGCATTACTGCCGTCCTATGAAGTCCTGAGCGCACTACCGCGCATGCGCGGCCGTGAGCTGACTGACCGCTCAGCTTGCAGTCTTTGCCCGCCCCCTCTCCTCTGCTGACAGGCAGGAGAGAGAAGGCGCGCACACAGTGCCCTCTCTCTCCTGCACATGTCAGACGTATTTTAATGACGTGTACATGGCCTTTTTAGGGTGACGGCCACTAGAGGTATTTCTATCAACGTAAACACTGTTTTTTCTCTGAAAATACAGTGTTTACATTAGATTGCCTGCAGGGAGCTATAGATCTCACCTGAACAACTACATTAAGCTATAGTTGTTCAGGTGACTATAGTGTCCCTTTAATGTAGAATACTGTGCACGCAAGGCACAGGAACTACTGACATACAAGGATAGTTATGGTTTTACACAACTTCTAGATTATGTAAACACCATTGGTTTGTGCAGTCCCTAAAATGTCAAACCACACAGGCCAAAATAAATAAAGAGAAAAATAAAAATAAAATACAGGTATCACAGTCCAGTAATCCAAAAAGACCCCTCATTCCAACCTTTAGTATATGACAGGATCCTTCTGACATACGAAATTCTGGGGTTCCTCCAATGGGAGTGGAAACAAAGAGGGGGAAACACCAGAAATTCTAATTCCTTACCAGACTAGCTGTATGCAAACAAGCCACTTCCTCCTGAGCTCACTGCCGCAGACGCTCAAGCTCCATCGGAGCCAGATGCAAATAAGTAGCATACAACATAAAGCCTCATTTCGTGTGCATTTCCACCCCAGTACTCCACAAATGGGCATTGCAATGTGCAAAACATAAGGTACTACCTAGCATCCTATCCCAATGGAGACAGGCAGATATTGGGGAAAGGATAGGATTGCACAGATAGAGAGGTACATGAGAAGCAGCATGCGTGGGAATGAGTCAGGGGCCATATATTTTGCTTTTTAGGTCTGCCTCTTGATCAATAACTGACCAACTCCATGCGGTTGGAGAGTCATTGCGATAAGCATTGTGTGTGCGCATCACATTTTGCAACTTAAAGATGAGATTTAATCTACACATTAAGCTGGTGGTAAAAAAAAAAAAAACAACCCACAAGATTCACAGTAGTTGGAGAATAAAAAAAAAAAAATACTAAAAAAAACAAATAACACTTGCAATCTGAACGGTTTGCTTATTCTGGTGGGGAAGTGCCAGGTTACAGGGTATAATGGGTAGAGCCGGGCAGTGCCAGGTTACAGGGTATAATGGGTAGAGCCGGGCAGTGCCAGGTTACAGGGTATAATGAGTAGAGCCGGGCAGTGCCAGGTTACAGGGTATAATGAGTAGAGCCGGGCAGTGCCAGGTTACAGGGTATTATGGGCAGACCCGGGCAGTGCCAGGTTAGAGGGTACTATGGGTAGTGCCAGGTTACAGGGTATTATGGGCAGACCCGGGCAGTGCCAGGTTAGGGGGTATTATGGGCAGTGCCAGGTTACAGGGTACTTTGGGCAGACCCGGGCAGTGCCAGGTTACAGGGTATAATGGGCAGAGCCAGACAGTGCCAGGTTACAGGGTATAATGGGTAGAGCCAGGCAGTGCCAGGTTAGGGGGTATTATGGGTAGTGCCAGGTTACAGGGTATAATGGGCAGACCCAGGCAGTGCCAGGTTACAGGGTATAATGGGCAGACCCGGGCAGTGCCAGGTTACAGGGTATAATGGGTAGTGCCAGGTTACAGGGTATAATGGGTAGACCCAGGCAGTGCCAGGTTACAGGGTATAATGGGCAGAGCCGGGCAGTGCCAGGTTACAGGGTATAATGGGTAGAGCCGGGCAGTGCCAGGTTACAGGGTATAATGGGTAGAGCCGGGCAGTGCCAGGTTACAGGGTATAATGGGTAGAGCCGGGCAGTGCCAGGTTACAGGGTATAATGGGTAGAGCCGGGCAGTGCCAGGTTACAGGGTATAATGGGTAGAGCCGGGCAGTGCCAGGTTACAGGGTATAATGGGCAGAGCCGGGCAGTGCCAGGTTACAGGGTATAATGGGTAGAGCCGGGCAGTGCCAGGTTACAGGGTATAATGGGTAGAGCCGGGCAGTGCCAGGTTACAGGGTATAATGGGTAGACCCGGGCAGTGCCAGGTTAGAGGGTATTATGGGCAGACCCGGGCAGTGCCAGGTTAGAGGGTATTATGGGCAGACCCGGGCAGTGCCAGGTTAGAGGGTATTATGGGCAGACCCGGGCAGTGCCAGGTTAGAGGGTATTATGGGCAGTGCCAGGTTAGAGGGTATTATGGGCAGTGCCAGGTTACAGGGTATAATGGGTAGACCCGGGCAGTGCCAGCATGGTGCTATGGGCTGCCGGCACACTGACCTGCGGAAGGCATCCTCTAGCAGCACACAGGAGGGCCCCGCGGTGGAGCCGCTGCCATGGACAATGCTGAAGCTGTCCGGTGACAGGAAGAGGCACTCGGCAGAGCTCTGCACCGAGCGGGGCAGCGGCCACAGGGAGCCGTACGGGGACTCCTCGGCTCTCAGCACGCTCGGGTCCTCCCCCGCCTCCCAGAGACCCTCGCCCCGCACCGCCAGGCACCAGCACAGCAGCACGGACAGGACCGACACCGGAGCGCACACCATGTCACCGCGTGCTCGGCTACCAACCGACTGACTGCGATCACAAGACAGCACCGTCATGTGACCTGCCGGCCACGCCCACAACTCACACTCAGCCGGATTCTGATTGGAGGGAACTGGCCGGGGCTAGCATGGATCACGTGACTAACTGCGGTAATCGTTTGAGGTGGACGCTCTGTGTAGAAATCCCCCACATAGCCTTTCAATAGCCCATACAGTGTGCTGAGCTGTAATACCGTGTCCTGCCTGCAGGTGGCAGCAATGCTCTCCAGTGTTTACCTATACATTGATTGATTTATAAAATATATTTTACCAGGATGGATACAGTGAGATTGCTCTAGTATTTAAGTATGTCCTGGGTCCACAAAACATTGCATTATTACAATAGGATACAATATAATAAAAATACAATATACAAACTATATACATATATATACACATATATATATATATAAATGTAATACATAACCATGACAGGTTAAAAATATATATTATTGGTACTGAAATAATAAATACAGTATTATTATTATTATTGCCATTTATATAGCGCCAACAGATATCGTAGCGCTTTACAATATTATGAGAGGGGGGATTTAACTATAAATAGGACAATTACAAGAAAACTTACAGGAACGATATGTGGAAGAGGACACTGCTCAAACAAGCTTAATCTATAGGAGGTGGGGTATAAAACATATTAGGACAGGAAATTGCAGTCAAATTAGGTGGGAGTGAATCAGAGCTGGAGGAGAGAGTAGAGTGCTGCCCTTTAAGAGAGAGCAAGAGACAGGTATGTGAGGTAGAGGTTACTCTGGGAGGCCTTAAGCTTTCCTAAAGAGATGGGTTTTTAAGGCACTTCTTAAATGAGAAGTCCTGCAAGCGCGAGTTGGCCGTACGGGTGCGAACAGCAGTCAGGAGGTGGTCACGGGCAGAGCAGAGGGAACGAGGAGGGGCATACCTATGGATCTGTGAAGAGATATAAGAGGGGCTAGAATTGTTCAATGCTTTTAGGTATGGATAAGTACCTTGAATTGACTCCTATAGCATACAGGAAGCCAATGTAAGGACTGATAAAGGGTCAGGGGAGAGAGGACCGACTGGTGAGAAAAATCAGTCTAGCGGCAGCATTTATTACAGACTGTAGTGGGGCAATATGGCTTTTGGGAAGACCAATTAGGAGAGGGTTACAATAATCCAAGTATAAAATGGAAATAGAGGGGTTATTAGTTAAAGGGGCACTGCAGGCACCCAGACCACTTCAGCTTATTGAAGTATTCTGGGTGCAGTGTCCCATCACCCTTAACTTTGAGCATGTAATTATTGCAGATTTTAATAAAGTGCAATAATTACCTGCCAGGGTTAACCCCACCTCTCCCAGACAGCCACTAGAGGGACGTCCAGTTTCCCCCGTCCTGGTAGTCTAAAACGGCCATTGCTGCGCATACATATTAGGTCTCCCTGCCGGCTGACATCGGCGAGAGAGGATCATGGGCGGAGTCTGACTCAACACATGGGACATCGGCGCTGGATTCAGGTAAGTGACTGAAGGGGTATTTAATAACTTCGGTGTCGTGGGAGGAGGGCGCCAGGGAGAGGGGCACCTTTAAACAGTGGCGTCACAAGGGTGGGCCCAGAGGGGGCCACGGTCCCCCCTACTTCATGCCATGTTCCCCCTTGTGCCACCCCCTCCCAAATGCAGACACTGTTTTATGGGAAATGTGGTTTTTTTTTTTTTTTAATAATCCCTGGTGGAGAATAGACAGACAGAAATAAACACACACTGACAGACATACACACACACACAAACACACACACTGACAGACAAACAAACAGATACACACACACTGACAGACAGAGATAAACACACACTGACAGACATACACACACACACTGACAAACATACAGATACACACACACTGACAGACATACACACACACACTGACAGACAAACAAACAGATACACACAGAGGCAGACACATAGGTACACATACTGACAGATACACAACACACACTGACAGACATACAGACACTGAGACACAAAGATACATACACACTGTCAGACACACACATGCAGGTCAAACTATACAATTTTATAGCCAGCCTTCAGTTTCCTACCTTTTGGGTACCGGAGGGTGGCTTCCTTTGTGTCCAGTCTGCACGCTGAGGATGTTGAAAGTTAGGATCTGGCTCTTGCAGCCTGCAACCCATCCTATCATGCCTTCTTCTCTCTGCTCTCTCCAGTCTCACCAATTCTGGCCCCTTCCTCACAGCCTCCTCCCCCACCCACGCGGCTCCGGTTTCTGGGAGGAAGTGACTCACGGCACTCACCTCCTTCCATGCTGTTGTTAAGCAAGGGGCCCGGTTGTGCTGTTAAAGCACCACAGTACCCAAACAGGACCCTGCTGACACATGCGCACCAGATAGTCCTAAATGCATGGGCCACCTGATGGGCATCATACGTGTGCAGGCCCCAGTGCAACGCAGCAGCTACCCCAACAGTAGTTCCTCGCAGGCCACCGGAAATCCTTTGCTGGACCACATGTTGTGCAGGTCTGCACTTTATCACGCTTGTACTACTGACACTATAGTGTTCCTTTAATTTGAAATTGCTGAATTCAAATAATTTTCAAGTTCAGTTATGTTTTCAGTTCAGCTAGATCGGCCTAAATTCACTATGAATTCCCCACAATTCACACATTTGTGAATAATTCTGTTTGTGTATCACTTCAGTCGATGTTATTAGAGTAAGTGTCAAAATACCAGCGCACTCATGAATTCTGTTACGTGTATTCCCAAATACAATGCAAATATGTTGGACGTTAATGAGTGCATTACATCCGTCCCCTCAACCCCATATTCCCAGTTTATTGTTCATTTGATGATTGAAAGCAGCTCCACGTCACATGATTAGCTAACAGAGTTTTAGAGGATGCCACTCAGCTGAACAAACACCTAGATTTCTTTTACATAGAACCATTGGCATTCAGCAGACCATGTCAGCAGAATATATTGTTAACTTCTTTATGTATAGCTAACGCTAACACCAGTCATGTGCAGACAGAGCCACACAACTTTAACACGTTGTGTATCCCTGCAATGCATGTCAAGGCATTAGGCAGGCGTCCAGCTATCAAGAGTTAAATTGTGTTACACTGGCAAGAAGTAAAATAGGCCATCGATTAAAAGTCACTCCAAGCACCATCTCAACATTACGTAACTTAAAAAGTTGTCAAGCACATAGCCAGCTGAGACAACTCTTAGCTCGGAGAATGCTTTGGACGTGTAGCAATTTGTAAAAATGGCCACATCTCTAAGCTGGCCACTTAGTTATCAGCCCACGGTATGTGTTACAAGTATTAATCTTGTCCAAGTTTTATTTGTGTGGAGAAAGAGTAGGCTAATAAATATATATATATAAATACAAATCAGTTTGTCCCGCACTCACAGTTCCTGGTCTTGTTGCCTTGGTGCAATCCCCGGCTTAAATATGTATGATATATTGATGGAGAGCACTCAAAGGACTCAAAATGTATTTCAAATAGTGCTTTTTATTTAAGCATCAAATCTTTGGATACAGAGTGTCGACGTTTCAGTCCCACTGGACTTTTCTCAAGAGTCCAGGTCTTGAAAAAAGACCAGTGGGACTGAAACGTTGACACTCTGTATCCAAAGATTTGATGCTTAAATAAAAAGCACTATTTGAAATACATTTTGAGTACTTTGAGTGCTCTCCATCAATATATCGTGTATATATATATTAATACAAGAAATAGTTAACAACCATTACACGCATTGATTAGTCCCTAGAATATGTTCCTCTAATGTCTGTGATTGTTAAAGGGTCACTATAAACACCATAACCACCTTCTCTTACTGAAGAGGTCATGATGCAAAGACCCTGAAGCCTTTCATGTTGATAATATTTCATTCTGGGGATATACCTATCGTTTCCATGTGTAGGATCACAAAAATCAGGGCAGCACAAAACCAGGATACACCACTGATTGTAATATGTAGCAATCTGCTAGATTCTGAGAGAACGTTACCGGTACCCAAAAATAAAAAAAAGAGAGGAATTTAATGTGGAATTCAGGTTGTAATACTTTCCTAATAAGAATCTGTAGATTTTTGGGTTTTGTTTTAATTTTGGAGCCTCTACCCTGTAAAAGAGTCCTATAAAAAGGTGTCACACACAAAAAAAGCTATAATCTATCTATTGAGAGTCCAAGCGTAATGTAAAACGACACTGTAAGATTAGCGTGTCAAACATGCGGCCCACACTGGGTATCTTTGTGGCCCAGTGGCATTTGGGGATAATTCCTAGTAGGCTGCCTGCCCTGGGGCTTCTCCATCGTATGGAGTCATATTTGGCAGCTGCGCTACAGTGCACAGAGTGGCTGGCTGCTTGTACCACTCCCCCTTTCCTGCTGCTCGCAGTGCCAGAGGAGTGTGTGGCCTGCTTGAGCAAAGAAGATACTGTAGGGCCTGGAGTGGAAGACGGCTTAAGATAGGGGGAAAAGGAATTGGAGGAATCTTCCTGTAGTTTAGTTTATTAAATTTGGGGGGCGGGGAGTGGGGGCAATGTATTAACGTCAGGGGAGGAAGGGCAGTTTATTAAATTAGGGTAAGGAGGTGGGGGCAGTGTATTAGAGTGGTGGGAAGGGGGCAGTGAGTTAAATTGGGGGAAGGGAGGGGGAGGGCAGTGTATTAAATTAGAGTGGTGGGAGTGGGGGCCGTGTATTAAAGTGGAGGGAGAGGGGGCAATGTATTAGATTGGGGGGAGGTGGGGCTGCGGAAGGCTGTGTATTAGATTGGTGGGCATAGTAAGTAACTTTTGAGTAAATTATATATATGTACCCAGGATTACATAGTGTTTGTATGAGAATGATACAAGTAATTTTGGTTTGTGTTGGTCTAGTAAGAACTCTTTATTTTTGTAAAAAATAAATTGCGGCATAAACTTAAACCTTGTTTATTTGGCCCGTGTTAGCCCTTGAGTTTGACATGCTTGCTGTAAGACATTATGTCCCGATGGTATTATAGCACACTAAAGAAGGGCAGATCCTGGATTGTTAAATGTCAGGG